CGAAGAAATAAGCGAGATTAGCCTCGCAGACTGGCCATCCCTCCGAAACAATTGATCTGCGAAACCCATGGTGAGATGGCTGATCTTGCGCCAGGAATCAAATATACTGTCACAGCACCTCAACCCTTCCCCACGATTCCTAATCTCGAAAGGGCTCAGGGCCGACTGCATCTCGACGAGAGCTAACGGGTCATGGTTGAGGTGCACGACTTGGTCAGTTCGCCATAATATTAGAACTTATGAGGCGAGAAGGCAAGGAGTCCCCTCAGCAAGGTATGCCGGCCGGTTCCGTGATGAGTAAATCCATCAATCAACCCGTCAACCGATTCCCGTGACGCCCGTATAGCTGCGACTTTGCTTCGCTTTGAAATCATCCTTGTGCACGCATGATGGGGTTACTCATTATAATGATAACAACAATGGCGGCTGTTACCAAGTTAGGTACTTGTAGATTAAAACGAAAGATCCATGTAGCGCCAGACCGGGCAGAGTGGCCCTGCTTGCATTCGGCGCACCTTCTCGAACCTCGAGATGCCGGCCGCTCTAATGCGCGACAAGAAGGAGCAACCGGAACGGACCATGGGATGCATAAATCGATGGTCGGCGCGCTTCTAGTCTATTCTTCCACCACCTTCCTCTTCTTCTCGCGCCCAGTATACATCAATTGATACATCTTGGCAATTTGAGTCCCTTGGACCTCAGGGCGGGCATCGACACGTACCACGTTCCATGCAGAAGCTGCATTTTCCTTCCGCCACCCTCTCCTCATTAATAGAATCTAGGCCTGTCTGGGCAACTACCCCTTTCCGCTTTCCCCTTTCTTCCAACACGTCCGTTCTTTCCACACTCTGGGGAAAGCACGTCCACTTTGATTTTTCTTTTCCTTCACCCGAAGATCTGTGGGTGAAAAAAATTCTGCAACTCATAGCGACACAAGGGGAGGAGATTTGGTTGGCCTCGGCTCCTCAAAACAAGCCACATGTCAGGCTACCCTCACACCTATCCCAAAACGGTAGTTTGAACGACAAGGCTGTCTGAGAGTCCTTAAAAGGGCAACAGAGGGAAATCGTGATTAAAAAGAAAGAAAAAGGGGGAAAGAAAAAGAAAAAGAACGAATAAAAAAATAGGGAAAGAAAAGTAAGGCAGGGAAGGAAACGCAATGAGGCGGGCCTCGCAACTTCCCAGCAGCAAGAAGGCACAAGGGGAGCTTCCTATAAGAGGATGACAAGAAAGATGAGGAGCACTTGAGCCACGAGAAGAGGAAGGAAAGAAGGAAGACATCGAAGCAACACACCTTTGCAGACACGAGGCCTACCACCGCTCCTGCCACAGTTAAAAATGCTACTCGAAATTGGCCAGCCCCGTATGCTCTGTGGTCGAACTGTGTGTTGAGCGGATGGCCGGGATGAGACTCCAACGCTGAATTGCTAATGAACAGCATCCCATCGCTGCTAGTCACGTTGCGTACCTACCCCCTTCCTTCCCGCACGTATGCAGGCCTTGATGCGGTCGAACATGTATGAGAGTGGCCCCGCAGGCCCTTTGTAGGTAGTTTGAGGCGCGCGCCGGGGGTTTCTCCATCGCGACATCGATCTCACCGCCCTCTGCACTCCTAAATCACCGATTAAACGATTAAATGGAATCCTCCTTGGCAGACGCAAGCTACCTCTTTTCCCCATTAGGGCCCGCGAGGGACGCCCGTCAGCCCGCTCATACCTTTTGTTAGCCGCAGACGTATCTTGAGAGAATTGGGGACCGGATGCCTTCCACCGGTTCCCTTCAGAGGCCCGCAAGGGGACACTCATGCGCTAAAGCGGCGAGCTGCCGAAAGGAAAATAAACGCGCCCGTCTTCCGTGGCTCGATACTCCTCCGGGGGCTGATCCGGTTCTCGATGCCGAGAGTGGTAGGGCATGGAACCGTGGTTTACACATGAAGAATCGAGGTACGAGAGATACGAAGCGAAGTACCTGAATCCCTGTAAGTTGAGGTTAAAAAGTTGCAGAGCAATCTCGGTCCTTCTTTGTTGTGGGCGAAAGACACATCCATAGATGCATGTGCTCGAGTTGTGTCGTGATGCACGACCCTGTGGGCCTTTTTCACCTCTTTTCGCTTCGCCTTCAGCTTTAACTTTTCCACCAATCTTGTGGAGTGTGTTTTCCTTTTCTTGTGGCTCGAGAATATCCCAATTACCTCGGTATTTTCTGTTCAATCAACAACGATAACAATACCTCGCTGGGGTTTGATGTTCCCTTGGGGTGTGGTGAGAGAGTTGAGCCAACATACGAAGTAGGTTGGAGCGCATTTGGGAGTCAGGTTTCTCCCCTTGCCCCTCAGCTCTGACTGGCAACATCTGCCGAATAACCTTAGCTCTCGATCACCCCTTTTCTTCTTCTTTTTTTCCGCCGTCGCCCTCTCCGCCCCCTCTTCTAATCCGAGGCACAGCCATCACGAAATAGAAAACCCTAAGTCGGCCATTGCCACAGAGATGGCGTCCACCCAAGTGTCGGAAACTGATTAAGCTTTCACAAAAGCTACACCTCCCCAACCCTTTTGCTTCCATGTGGCATCCATGAAGCTAGTCTCCTGGCAGAACGGACCATATTATCCGCCACTAGCCACAGTACCTTGACATACCCAAACCTTGGGAGATGATAATTCCGCGGAAAGAGAGTCTTGGGTGGGGGCTATCATCTCCCAGAACCTTCGCGCCAGGCACCGCGCGCATGGGAAGCTTCCGCGGGCGAGGCTGCCAACCTCAACTGCCTTCCCGAAGATGGGTGCCGAGCAAGCGCGGCTGAAGCATTCCTCCACATCAAAAATCATTTCCGAGCATCACGTCTGGGGGAAAAAGTTTACCCTCATCTCTTCCCCGCACTCTTAACCTCTGGGCTCTAGTGAGGGGGCGACTACCGGCTCCTTCCGATGCTTAGGTGGAGGCGACGAGAAAGCTTCTCGTCTCTTTGTTCAGACACCTTCCCCAGGTGCCCCGGCCATTGGGCGAGTGGAAGAAGCAACGGTGATGAATGACCACAACCAGCGGCGCAAGCTTTGAAGCAGGGAGCTTGTAGCTGTACATGAGACGTGCTTCCGTTAGGCGGGGGAGGTCTCACGGAAGACATGGGCAAACCTTACCGGTCATTATGATGGTGGTTTGTTTGCCTCTGTTCTTGAATACACGATACGAGATGATTTCAAACCGGCCGGGTTCGGACTTCGGCAACTTAAGGGCCCCTACTTGCTCCGGCACGTCTTGAGAAAAGAGCTCCGTGAGCCACCCAAAGGCTCCCGGCACTTATCATGAGCAATGGCGGGTGGGGGAAGAAGAGGAAGAGACCGAAAGAAAGGAGCGGAACCCTGGGAGTGTGGATCTAAGCGGTTGGTGTAAAATCCCCGTCTAACGGCTTCCCATGCCATCCATGGAACGCGGCCCAGTCTTTTGCACTATTGCAAAAGCTCGAAGAGGAATGAACGACAAACATCAAATCCTCACGTGTTCAGTGTAGCGTGCTTGTATATCCTTGCCTTCATTTTCTTTCTCAACTCTAATATTTTCGAGGCATGAAGGGCAGACCAGCATCTTCTCCCCCTGTTTTTCACTTCTTTTTGTCCAACCCTTGGTTTCTTCCCTCATCCGTCTCCAATACCTTGTGAGGAGTATTTTTTCTTCTTCATCTAGCATGCCACCGATGAGAGAACATGCTTGCCGAGATCCGCACCCCCTCCAACGAGCGGATTTGCCGTCCCTCGCCCTGGCACTTGCTAGCGGTGAGCAAACGAGGTGACTGGTGGGACGGTCGACCGACTGAGTGAGCGTCAAGGGTGTGCCTACCTACTTGAACCTGGTTTCCGTCCCTGGTCACCCGTCAGCATGGCATCCCGGCAAACACCTCCCTACGCCCCCTCTCCCCGATTTCTTTCGTGATAGATCATTATTAGGATAGAAGTTGACGGGGTGAAAGGGAAAGGGCTTGAAGAAAGGGGCGGCACATGGGAAGCCCAACGTCAGGGCCTATCACTCCTGCCATGAGGTGCCGTACCTTGCCGTGATATCACTCGACAAGGTCGCCCAGAGCAGGAGATGCAACCTCACTCGCCAAGGCCGCGTGGACAGAAAACCGTCCTTGTGGGTATTAATAATACTGACACATTGATCCATGGGAGGAGGGATAAGGGTCAGGGCCCTTGGCCAGCGTCGTTTTTTTCCACGTATCTGAGATTTGGTCATACAAATGTCGATGCTGCTGTCTTACTTTGCCAAAGGGCCCCAGCGAGCCTCCGCCACGATATCATCCAAGTCTCGGATAACATCTCTAACGGGGATGCGATACGAGAGGTGACCAGGGATTCGTAGAAAACAGCCCCCATCGCCATCATGTTCGTTTCAAATACTTTATCCATTGCTCCACTTCGTTGAAGACGAAAATAAAAATACAATCATACCCCTAGACTCCTCCGGAAAAGCCGCAGTCTCCTCGCTCGTACCTAAACGAACCATTGGTTCCGTTTGCTCCAGGTTGCCATCATGGAGAATGGCCCGATACTCGTGGGAACGGGATGACCTTTTTTCTTCTTCTTCTTTTTTTCTTTCTTTTTCTTTCTTTCTTTCTCTGCCTTCCTTGCTTGATTTTGCAATGCATGAACCCCGCTCGCCCTGCTACTCTCTCAACTTCCTCCACCATCGAACGTTTGGATGCAAAAGGGAAAAGAGTGTACATGAAAGACGGCAGAAGAAAAGAAAAGGAGAAATCGTGGAGAGCAAATTAGAAAGGGGAAGAAAAAAAGGCAAGAGCGCTCGAATCAGGCTCGAGAACAGTATTTGAAACCCGCCGAGACTAAGCGCAGGGTCGCGAAGTAGGTATATCCATAGATAGCCAGCCTTAAGCCAAACGCGGTGCGATTTATACGAGGATCATCATCGGAGCTTGTGGGTGGACTAGATGTGGAGATGGGGGAAAGGGGACTCTGGAAGAGACGTTCACGAGGGGCCCAGCTAGAAACCCTAGATCTTAGTCGGGGCGGCATCGCGCTTCCAGCCCTTGGATCTCATGCTGCTCTCAACAGCCTTCCAGATGGCTTCGACAACCTCCTTGTCTCTGAACCTCGCGGCATCGGGGGCGTCCCTCCACCGATCCACCGCGCAGGCAATGACGCGGTGGCCCCAGCTCGCGACGCTGTCGGGGGCTTGTCCCCTTTCCAACCGACGTAGACGCCGAGCACGTGCTTGAACAGCTCGCTAGGCGTGGACCACTTGTAGCTCTTGAACTGCCAGGCCTGGCCCGTCGTGAAGACGGCGACGACCCGGTTCCAGTACTCGGGCTTGAACTGCTCGGGGCCCTCGACGAGGATGAAGCGGATGGGGCGCGACGGGTCGATGTCCTTCATCATGCGCGTGACGTGGAGCATGTTGGTGCCGGTGCCGGGACCCTCGGGGGCGAGAACCGGCCGTCTTCGAGGAAGGAGCGGATATTGGTCATGCGAAGGAGTGAAGAGGCCGAAGGGGAGAGGAGAATGATGGGATCTGGCCGGCGGCTGGGAGCGCGTTGCTGGGATGACAGGGCGGGATCTGCTATGCCGCTCGTGCCGGGATGTTGAGGCTTCCTCTGTACGAAGACTGTGGCAAGCTTCCTAACGTGTGAAAAGTCCTATGGGTGGTGGAGAGAGGGGCTCTCGTTAGCGGCTATACGTAGATCTCATGCTCGGCGCGCCCCGGGCTATTTTGGGAGAAGGGGAGAGAGGGAAGAGGGTAGAGGTACGGGGACCGAAACTGCGTTCGAGGTCGGCTACGCCATGATGCGACTTACCGTGGGCTTGATTCCCCTCAACACCGTGTTCCGATCTCCCATGCGCCTCTCGTGATTGTATATCGCCGCCATGCGCGGATCCAGCGTGCCCCTCCCAGACCTCGTCAGCCCAGTCGCGGCCGCGGCGGCGCCCTGGCCGCCGCATCGCCAGCCCTATCGCCCTCGAGCGGCTTAATGTACTCGCTCTCCTCGCTCGCGCCCTCGAGCCAGGCGATCAAGTCGAGACGCTCGACAAAGGCGAGGTTGTGCACGGCGGAGCCCTCGCCCCCGGCCGACGCGAGCTCGGCGTTGAGCTTGGCGGCCGACGCATTGTATTCGGGGATGGCCACCTCCCGGTTCAGCCAGGCAAAGTAGATGCTGCGCACATTGACGGCGTTTTCGCCGCCCGAGGTCGCGAACCGGGTCGAGGCCGCGACGGGGATGACGGCGTTGTTCGCGTGGGGGAAGCGGAGGTGGGTGGCCTGCGATAGAGGCACTTCGGGGGCGTTGAGGGGTCGGAGGAGGAGGTGGGAATGGCGGGTTGGTTGGCGGAGATGGATTGCCGTAGGAGGAGGAGGGGATCTTGGCCGGCGGACGCCATGCTGAATCCGCTAAATGTGTTTTCCTCCCTTTTTCTTCTTGGTGGTTGTTTTGTTTGTCTTGGCTCTTTTCCGCGCACGCGAAGAGGTAGGCACGACGCGCTTTCTACCGCTTTTGCCAATGAGCAAAAGGCGCGAGCTAACTGTCTTCCCTCAGCGTCCCAATTTCTGCTAGAAGGGGAAAAAAGATTCGATGGAGGAGAGTGCGAAAAAGGTTCGAAGGGGCCTGCGGAAGGGCGCTCGAGAGGAAAGATACCGGGCGCGTTACGATTCGAGATAGAGCTGCTTTTTGTTAAAGGTAGATTGAGCCGTTGATGGGCTGGTGATGAGGTGAATGGGGGAGGACGTGGGCGAACAGGGTGGGAGTCGAGAGCGAGGCTGGCGATTTTGGAGGTCGAACACGGAAGCTGGGATTTCGGTGGAGCTTTGTGCTTCAGCCAACCACAGTTCTCCTTCAGCCTCGCACACCACCCAACACACGCTCGCAATCAAGTACCATCGCCAACGCGGTGAGACCAGCAGCACGTTGGCATTCTCGGACCCTAGCCATTTGTCCCACGTATATATATATATGTATATAAACATCTATACATATCCTATCCGACTTCCTTCTTTTGTTTTTATTTAAAAGAGAATTGCCCAAAAATGAGAGAGAAAATGTGAAGGGCGAAAATAGAGAAGAAGTATTAAATATTTGTAGACAAATCCTGAAGACCACGACAGATATGCTGAAAAGGGGGCATTGAGGATAAGGGATGGCGAGAAGAAGAAAAAAGGGGGTGCGAAACCCAACGACAGAATCTTGATTCTATAGTAGAAAGAACAGGAAAAGGAACACCGATATAAAATGGAAACAAGCGTAATGCGCCGAACCCAGAGCCGGTATCGTTTCACATCATACATCCCCATCCAGAACCCAAACCGACACTCTTGTGAATTCTAATCTTGGCGTCGTTTTGCGTCATTCGGGGCTACGCGCCCGCGTCGCACACCCGTTTTGCGGGCCTCTCGTCGGCGTGACCGTTCGTGTTTGGCCTCTTCTCGGGCACCGGGTCCAATTCGTCGTCGCTCAGAGCGTTGTTGGACGGCGAGTCCGCCTCGTCCTCCTCGAGGCCCTTGTCCAGCGACATGACGGACCCCGCCGCGCTATCAACCGCCAAGCTGTCCTTGGCCGAGCGCAGCGCCGCCAGGAGCTCATCGCGGCGCGAGTGGTCGAATCGTAGGTTGGGTAGAGTCAAGCGATCCAGGTGCGGTATGGAAGACGCCGCGCCCGCCGCCGTAACCGTCCAGCCTGCGGCGTGGGCCCCGTCCTCGATGGCGAAGGCGATGTTGAAGTTGTCCTTGTTTCGAGCCACGCCCAGCGCGTAGGCGCTGGTAAAGGTATCCCCGCGCCGTTCTTATCGACGACGGCGCCATGGAACTGTGCGGGCACGAAACCGAACTCGTGCTGGTGGTTAAAGTAGAAAGCACCCCTTGGTCCTAGCGTGATGATGACGTTCCTCACTCCCTTTTTCGCAAAGGAGTAGCCGGCTTTCCGCATATCCTCTTGAGTAAGCTCCCGCGCCGGATTCGCGTGGCCGAGGAGCATCCTACACTCCGTCTCATTGACGATTAGGTGATCGAGGCCCTGGTAGACCTCCTCGGGTAGCTTCCTCACGGGCGTGGGGTTGAGCAAGACGGGTACCCCTTGCTTTGGCGACGGCAATGGTATGCAGCACGGTGGCGAGCTCAAGCTGAAGCTGGAGCACGACGACATCGGGTTTATTCCCGGGAATCGTATCCCCGATGTGCTCTGGCGTGAGCTTTTTGTTCGCGTTCAACGTCACAACCGCACGGCTCTCCCCATTCCCTTCCACCACGGTGATGGAGACGCCCGTGCTCTGGCCCTCGATTTTCCTGACGTGTGAGCAGTCTATATTGTGTGACTCGAGAGTCGCCCTAACTTGCTGTCCAAAGACGTCGTCTCCAACCGCACCCACCATGCCCACTCGCGCCAAGGGCCCTCGCTCGAGAGGAGCATGCCCCGGATGGACGTGGGCAATTTTAGAGCACGCTATCGCCTGGTTGGCGCCCCTGCCACCGACGGAAGAAGCGAAGCCATCACCCATCAACGACTCACCGCCCCGGGGTATGCGCTGGACATAAGTAACCATGTCCATGCTTAGGGACCCGACCACGGTGATCTGCGGCGGGGAGAGTGCATCGGTTTCTACATGTATGCAGGGTCAGCCAAGGGGTGCCCGGGAAAGGGTTTCGCGGGTATGGTGGGACAGGCAAGCGCGAGAAATGCAGGGCGAAAGGGGGGAGAGGGGAGGGGAAAATAGTAACCTTCTCCCTGCGCCAGGGCCATGTTTGCGCGCAAAACTGTTCCAATGGCGTAATAAATCCTGTCTCTATAGCGAAATCTGAAAAGACAGCACCTCGTGTGCGATGCAGAGCGGTAAAGGGTGGAAAGTCAAGTTGTGTGGTGCGCTTTTTGGTCGGGGAGCGTCGCGAAGGATCGAGTTCCGGGTGATGCGACCGAGAGAGCTCTTGCGCGCGCAGAAGCCCAGCTCACTTATTACAGCTCTCAAGCCCTCATTGAACTGGTCACACAGAGTTTGAAAATGCAAACAAGGTTGACAAACATGCCACCGTCTCTCTTTTGGATGAATCCCCGAATAGATATTGTTAAGGATAAAAAACAAACAAACAATAGCCTCCAAGTACAACGCTGTATTATGTAGGGAGGGAAATGGGACGTCTTTGGGGGTGAAAAAAAGAAAAGAAAAAGATACAAAAGAATTGAATGGTAAAGGGGCAATGCGACTTGCGACTTGGTGGTTAGACAGCGTGACACTCCTAAATTGAACCTGTCATGGTTGAAAATGGGATTTTAAGACAACATTGAACCCAGTCGATCCTCAATTCGACGCCCTGAAGAATTGCTACAAGGGCTAATAGGCGATAGCGTACACCTAATGCCTACAGCTAGATGCAGAGATGCCAGGACCGAACGAGTTCATCGACTACGAGAAGAGGAGCCCGGTTGAATGCGCTCCGTTGGCTCTAATGTAGCATAGTGTGGGTGTGGCAGTAGTGGATGTGATGTGGATGCCATTGGGAACCAAAGAGGAATGCCGACGCCACGTGAGGTTCAAATGCTCACCAGCCTACCTAGTATTAAGTTCGCCAAGTGCTCGAGCTTGGGAGCCCTGGTATTAAGCATCGTCGAGAACATGAATCGAATTGACCAGTTGCGGAAAGGGGGCCAGCCCACGGCATCGATATGAGATGTGCGATCGATCGATGGCGGGAATTTTCTCAGCTTTGCCGCCGGTGGTGTGTGGTGGGTGCTCCCCACAAGCTGACCTTGGCCAGGCCGGCCATCCAGTGTTTCTGGAACACAACCTAAAATGGAATAGCGCCCTCTTTTCGATCCGGCAAGGCTTGGTCGCCATCTCAATCTCGGCATGTTCAGCCCAGGGCATCGCCATCAGGCGCGAATGTTGGGGGCCCAAACCCGGTTGGCGACCAATAACACCGATAGTAACACGCTCTTCTCCCTTGACAAGTTTAATAGACCATCTCATGTGTATGGATCCATAGATGTCTTTCTGCTCTGCCCACTCTTTACAGCTCGGTCGAGGGGCTCGCCCAGGAATCTTCCCTAGGGATTGGCAAGCTCGCCGGCAGGCTACCGGTGCAAATTTCCGAATACTAATTTTAGTAAAGTTTTTATAAATATCGCAGGGATCTGATTGCATGGACGAGCCTGCAAATTTCCGCGCCACTTCTCTTTTCTATAACACCAGATATCGTCGATACACGGGCCGAGATCTCTAACGAACTCGTACCTCTTTGTTCCTAGGGGACCTGAGAAGGGCTTCTGAACCCTCTTCGTCCCATGTGATGGATCGAGCAATGCGTTGGCTCCTTGCCTTGCGCGACTAGATTGCGGCCTTACGCCGCCTCAGGGTGATGCTTCATCAAAACCGCATGTCGATTCCGGTTTGCGAAGATGCGGCGCCTTGGAGACGCGAGGAAAACTACGGCTTCCGGGGCCGTAGCTGCCCTCACTGATGAAACCTGCCTTCTCGAAGCTTCCCCTTTGCAGCGAGGTCACAATGGGCTCTTGTTCCGAAAGAATGACGTGTGTACCATGGGTCTTGCCGTGCTCTTCACTGGCCATCACCTGTCCCATCTGACTCATGTTGGTATACCTCGGTGGAGGGGCGAGAATAGTGCACGATAGTTGAGAAAACCACCTTGCAAACTAGCGGTGGGAATTGGGAATCTACTTGTTGGCAGTACCATCAATTGTTTTCCCTCAGCCGTTTTTCTCATCAACCACCAGCCCTCTCGCTTCAGTCGTTCCTTCCTTTACTTAGGGCAGCTACACGTTCTCTACGCCACGTCCTCTACGCCACGAGAACCTGTGACTTGTGTTCTTTGACCGAGTGTCCGAGTAGAATAACACCTATCATGCACCTATCATGGCTCGCTTCAAAGGACGTCGGCCCCAAGGGCTAGGATGAGTATAATCTTGGGCATCGTCGTATTCAAACCTCACTCTTTTTAAGCTCAACCCGCCGCCTTGTTCAAAGAATAGATATATATGTATATAAAAGCACCCGCAACTCCTTCAATGGCATTAGTCGATAGCCATAGTATCATCTCCATCAAATGGCGCCGCCTCCTGGGGTAACGGGACACCCCGCCCTCGGCCTGCGAGCAACTCCTTCCGGATCTCAGGGCCGATAGCCGAGTGGCCGTGGGTGAGGAGGAGGTCGAGAAGTGCCTCTCGCTGATCCTCCGTGATGTCGTTTCGGTACTTTTGGGCGAATTCAGGAAGCACTGGTGCCATATGACGGAAGCTTCCTCCTCGCGGGGGCTTCCTCGCCCATCAAGCCAGCCAAATCGCTCTCTTGGACAGACGCGGGATCTACGCTGCGGAATCGGAGAAAGTCTACATATCGTTGGGATGGCGGTTAGTTTCATTAGAGACTTTCCTAATCCGGGCCGAAAAGCCAAAACTTACGGAAGACAAGGGCATCGATAACTTGATAAGGAAGGGCATAGCCCTTTCGGAGGAGGGTGTGGACGAGAATGTTGGTGGCGCCGCCTCCTCGGTTCCCTGGGACGCCTCCTGGGCTGCGATATCGCAAAGACCCTTGATCGCCGCAGCAGAGTGCAGCACGGGGATATGATGCCTCCGTAGGACACCAGCGATAATTGTGGCCTCGCGGAGAGTGCAAGTACCTCCTCCGACGAGGGGAAGAGGAAGCCCTTGAAAATGCAGAGGGTTTGAAAAGCGCCCTCTCTAGGGCCTTGAACAGATGAGGGTTGAGTTTCTTGTTCTCGTAAATGTCCTCCTTGACCTTCTCCAGTAGCACCATCTCGAGGAACCGTTGAACGACAATGGCCTTGCTCGCAACGAACACGCGAGTCACGGCATCGCAAGCGTTGGCGCTCCACTCCTCGGGCTTCGTGATGTGCAGAATCTCCTCCCAATGCGGCACGGTGGGTAGGATCTTCATGGGCTTCGGGATCGGTCCGGACCGGTGGCGCGAGAGAATCAGGCCGACCTTGGTGTATACGTCTACAACCTTGGGGGATCTCAAAGTCCTCGGGGATACCGACATCGGCGCGCGCCTCGGCGGCCTCGTGGGCGTAAATCTTTTCCAGGATCAAATCGGCCAGGTTCGTAGGCTCTTCGCTGTCTTCCGCCGCTCCCTCGGGGGTCTGCGATCCCAGCCGTGCTTGAGCAGGTCATCGTCCTCTTCGGGCATGAACTTTCGGTAGGTTTCGAGATCGGTCGGGTCGACTTCGATTTCTTCCACCTCCTCGTCCTCGTCGCCCCATACTTCGTCGTCGTCGTAAAACTTGTTATCCGCCGCAGTGTCGGCATCTATCCTCTCGTCGAAGGCGAATAGGTCCTGGGGCTGCTGCGCGACCTGGGGTTTGGGCAGCTCATCCTCCGCCTCTCGGGCGAGGGCTTGGCTGATTTTGAGAATGTTCCGAGACGCCTTGGAGTCGACGAACCGGTCGCCATCCTCGTCCTTGCTGTCCCTGGCCTTCCTCTTGGGGGCCTTGGACCGGAGCGGCCCGGTGGATACTAGATCATCTTCGAGAGGATTGTGACGCCGCGAACGGGCAGAAGTCGGTGTGGTAGCCTTGGGCATCGCCTCTGCGGAATGTATGTATGTATGGTACGGGGGCGCACAGAGTCGAGAGTGTCGGCGATTTTACAATTTCGCTACAGGAAACTGAGCCGAAAACCGCGTATTCTTTTTTATTTATTTATTTTGTTATGCGTAGGTCTGCAAGTTGCTTCCCCAATCGTGTGTCGTCGAAAGGAACCTCTTTTTTTTTTTTTTTTCTCTCCCTCGCGCCTATCTTATCGGCCTTCCACTTTGGTGGGGTACCTTCTTCTTCTTCTTTTTTTTTTCCCGACCCTGGCTTTTGGTTGTCTTTTTTCTTTCCTTGAGGTCCCAAGGCCAACCCCGCAGTGCAGTCCCACAGTGGACGAGTATTATTACTGGCCCAAGCCCTCAATTGCTGTGTGCTCCTTGTGCTTCTCCGCTCACCGCCCGGCAAAATGGAAATTTTTGGAGGGGCAGAGGGAGGAAAGCGCAACCAGCTTCGGGCGCATTCTCTCATGCCCCGCCATAACCTCATAATATTATGCTCTTTGACTGATTCCTTGATTTCATCAATCCTTGGATGGTGGCTCGAAGGCATATCAATCACCCCAAAACAACAATTAGAATTTCTTCTCTCTCCAGACCAAATTTATCCACGTATTTCCATATATCAAAGCTCTTTCTAGTTGATCGCTGGCCGAAATGTCGGATACAGAGCTTCAGGAGGTCTGTGTCCTCGCAAGAATACTATCAACACTTACACTTCCAAGGCAGCCTCTTCGTTCCAGTGAAGCTCATGGGAAACCATGCGCACCTCGCTGTATCCCATGCACACATGTAACGACTCGCTCGCTAACATTTCCCCTCTCGATTAGCTCGTAGACTTTATTGCCCATCCGAACCCCCAGGTTCGCCTCGGCGCAATCGAGGGTGCAGTTCCTTATTCCTTGTCCCATCCTTCGATTTTCAAAGCCGAGAATCTCCGCCACATCCGCAACTTGAAGGTCCTCGTACGAGACCATCCTGTAGGTTTGGCGCCACATCTCTTCTTTTCCTCTTTTTGTTTCTTCTTGTTCAGGATGCTCTTGAATACGGGCCCGACGACTAACATCTCGGCGGCTAGAGGATCGCGAAAAGCGCCTTGACAATATTAGTCAACCTTACCGGCGATCAAGATGTTCTCAAAGTCGTAGCGACAGATGATGAGTTCCTAGGACTTATTTTGGAAAAGATAGTGGTATGCGTTTCATGACCTCCTCCGGATGCTTCTCACCGATCAAAGCAGGCGTACTAACATCCGCGGAGACCGCCGACGAGAGCAACGCGGACCTCATAGCTATGCTTCTCGCCAACCTCAGCAAATGGGATGGGATGAAGGGCATTCTGGACAAGAAACAAAAGGCGCCCGAGGCCCTCAACTCCAACGACCTCGTCATGAATCAACTCCTCGACCTCTTCGTTAAGGGCATGGACGGCACCTACAACAAGAACGCCAACTTTGACTACCTAGCCTACGTTTTCGCGGACCTCGCCAAGCACACCGAGGTGCAGAAACACTTTGTCGAGCGACAGGAATACGACGACGAGATTCCCCTGACGAAGATCAAGGTCTTTACCGAGCACAAGTCGCATACTCGACGCAAGGGTGTTGCGAGCACCCTTAAGAACGTGGCGTTTGAGATTTCCTCCCACCCTTCTTTCCTTGACGAAGACGCGATGAATATTCTCCCCTACCTTTTGCTTCCCATCGCTGGGAATGAAGAATACGATGACGATGACATGTTGGATATGCTTCCCGACTTGCAGCTCCTACCGCCCGATAAGCAGAGGGATCCTGACCCCGAGATTGTCTTGACCCACGTCGAGACACTGACCATCCTCACGACAACGCGATCCGGGAGGGACCTGATGCGGCAAGTCAAGGTCTATCCTCTAATTCGAGAAACACACATGCACGTTAATCACGACGGTGTGAAAGATGCGTGCGAGAGGCTGGTCAATGTGCTGATGAGGGATGAGGCTGAGGACGAAGGTGCTGATGATGACGACAACGAACTTGTCGAAGTATAATTGGTACGAGAGCTGTCTCGCGTGTCTTTGGGATCTGGAGTGATAAAAACAGGCCCGTTGGCGCAGCGGGATGTGCTTCTGGGCCTTGCATATTGCCTGTTATCGCTCCCCTTTTTCTCTCTTTTCGTTCGCTATACTCCCGTTGTCGGTTCTGGGGTTCCAAATGTTGCTGGCTGCATAGGCGCAACCGTCCAGTGCTCTTTGTTTGAGCCTGTATATACATTGAATAGACGGACAGGCTCCCCATCCATTCGAGAACGCGTACAAAACTCATACATTCATGAATGTACCCTCCGCTCGGATTCGGAACTAAGGACCCAATCGGCCGGGTGTATTAATAACCTACCCCTCTCTCCACACTTTACATCTCCCCTCGCCTCCATTCCCTTGGACCTCGTGGTAGCCAACTTTATGATGCATCCATAACGCATCACCAGCAGCCTACCTATCAAATAATAATAAAAAGAACAAAGGAAAGAAAGGCAGTATACGCCCCTCGTCCCCATCACCTACCGCACAACCATAAACAAGATGAAAACCGGCCTTGCGAAAGCCACAGTGGGGAAACCGTCCTTGCCGAGACTTCCTCGTGGCATGAAATCGAGGAAATGTCTACTTCCCTCCCAGCAGCATCTCCCGCGACCACTTCGAGTCGACAGAGCTCAAGACCTGGTGCGGATGGAAGGGGAGGCGAGTTACTACACGGTTAAGGCAGGCGGTAAGGTGGAACCGGTCACTTGTCTTCTGTTGTGACGTACGTGTCATACATACTAACCATACACATGGGCATGGAATAATAGATGCCGTCTTGACCAACGCTGCTTGGTACTATTCTGACCCGATGGAAGCGGCCAAGGCAATCAAGGACCACGTCGCTTTTTGTAAGTGCTGCACCAGTACAGCACATGCCCTAGGCCACTTTCTCATCGCACTTCACCTAAAAACCAGCTAACAAATTGGACGGAATAGACAAGAACAAGGTCACTATCACGGCAACTGAGGGTAGCGGTTGAAAGGGGGAGCTTGGTGTGCAGCAAAGATCCATGTCTCGACTGCGTGATTACGAATCAACAGTAGTATCGTCTAAACTCTTTCATTCAATGCTATGGCTGGACGAAAATAGGAGAAACATAAATGCTTGAAGAAATAACTCCACAAAAAAAAGAATATGCAATGGAAATGGGCACATGATGTGTTGCCTGGTATGTAGCCGTATCTGGTCGGACTTCTATCATGGGGAATTATCCTCTCAATCGACAACTTGGGGGTATATGTAGTAATATGTAAATGCCGGCGTCAAGCGGACAGCAGGCAGCACCAAAGAAATCTCAACCTGCGTCCCCCTCCCTCTTACAAACTCTGTAGGGCAGATTCGCCAGATGTGTGGGCGCACGGCCGTCGTAATTCGTGTAATCGTCTATGTCTGTCTTGCGCCTTGTGTGTGTGATTTTTTTGTTCTTTTTAGCTTATAAATCTGAGCCTGTTGATGCAGGGGCCTTCGATACCGCTCTCGGCCGGCCCAGGCACTTTCATTTTATAGGTTGATCAGATCGACTTCGGAGAAGTCGGGCGGGGCGCGGCCGTAGACCACGCGACATTTGCTATCGAGCGCGGTACCCTCGTTGCTGATCCAGATAAAATCGCTGAGCTCCCTTGTCCGGCGAATCTCATCGTCACTCACGCCATTGTCGTCCCTCGGAATCCATACCGTTGGGCGGCGGGCTCGCATGGCAGCATGCTGGAAAGCGTATCGCACGAGAGCATCTCTCCTCCGGCGTAAGATCCTCGATTTCGTCATGATATCCGCCAAAGAGAGCTTCTCCAATGGCCCGCTGCTTTTCAACGTCCTTCTCCTTGAGGAGGCGTCGGTACTCTGCCGCACTTCGGGATTGACGCCGCTCCTGTCTGTTGAACGTGAGGGCCCGTCCAGCTTTGCTACCACCCTTATGCGCCCAGCTACCAATCTTCTTCACGGGGTTGAAAGTCCCCGCACGCTGGCCACCGTTTTGACCACGCATCTTCCTGAGCTCGATGTCGTCATCCTGGGTCGAAAATCGTCCCAGATTGGAGCCAGTCTCCTGCTTGGTGCGGTCCAAATCGTCCCCTTCATCATCAAGGTCGTCTACGAGGCCGAGACGGCGAGCTTGGTCGCGGCCGAATACCTCGTCACGTATGCAAGCCTCATCCTCGAAAGTGATGGGTAAGTAGCGGAAAAGAGGTCCAAACGACATGTTGAGGAGGGACTGGAAAAGAATCGTGAACCCAAGCGCGATGAGCATGATGATACCTTGCACGGTGCATGCGGCGTTGCCGTTCTCATCTCTCACAATGAAGAAGAGGCCAGCGAGCGCGAGCTCCATAACGTACAGACCGGTAAAGGTTTGGTTGATGGCGCGGGGGTACAGTACACCACCTGTGTCGTGCTCGAATCGGGTGACGTACAACATGCTGTATCTCTGAGCTACCCACAACAAACTAAAGGTGATGATGGCGAAGATGGAAATCAACGGGGCCACCACCGAATAGATGAGAGCAATGCAGGCGAAGTTGGTGTACACCGGGAAGAAGGAGCCCCATTTGATTTGGTGAAGTTTGGTGTTGCGCGACCACTTGTTACGCGCCGTGCTGTCCAGGATCTTGGCCAACACGTACCAGGTTAGAAGAGCACCAATTTGAAGTAGCGTACCAGAGCTTGTAGACAAGGCTTGCAGAATCATGTAACTGAAGAAGTAGTTGGCGGCCTTTGGAAGGTTTTCGGCGAGCAGATTGAGGACTTCGTTGACATTGGAGAGCGAGGCAAGATTGGAAAAGAGCTCGTCGACACTAGCCACGAAGAAGGATGTGATGGAAACGATGAGGAAAACCTGGATGAACAAGAAGGCAAAGAAGTAAAGCTGGACAAATTCCGTCTTTTGCGACCCAGTCTTGACGCCTTTGAACTCGGCGAGGACCCCGAGGATAAGCGGCACAAGAACCAAGAGGAGGGACAGGAAGATGGCAGGCAAAACACCCACGACTACCTGCGCAACCTGCTTCACCTTGGGATCCGACTCTAGGAAGCTGAGCCACTCAAACCTCTTCACGAGGCTGTCAAGTTGGCCCAAGGTGGCGGTGAAGGCTACTGGGATCGCCCACAGAATCAGCATTCCCACGACCACCACGGTTACAAGAGCAGCGCGGGCCCATTCTTGCCACCAGTTGATGGCCATGTTGTCCCAAATGACATCCTTGGGCGAGATCTCGATTTCCTAGGCGCCATTTGCCTTGGCACGTGGTGAATCAAGCTTTGACAAGCCATGTGCGCAGAGACCTGATGGTTGAACTGGATAAAGGCCGACGGCATCAGTGGGTACCTCTCTGGATGCTTCTGGTCCTCTTCGATCTCCATGTTTAGCCGTGCAAGTTCCTTGCGACACCAATCGATGGTGTCCACCTTGGGGCTCACACCAGGAATACCGAAAAACCAATCAGGAGTCCATGAGAACCTGGCGAGCCGATGAGTGGGCCGATCCTTCTTTCTCACCCAATTCTCCCACGCCGCAGGGGCATCCTCCGCATTGGCGGCTTCCTTGTTGACAGGTACGCGGTAGTATTCAGGATATTCGTGCTGCTCTCCCTGGATATCTGCATGCAAAAAGGGTAGCGCCATCTTGACCCTTTGCCAGGTGCTCAGGGGCCGGTTCCGAAAGGAAACTCATCATCCTCAGCGCCCTGAGGAACGGGGATGCATATCCTCCAGCAGGTGGCTTCCAGAATTGCCAAAATCGGACGTCTTCCTTGATGTACATATCGTCCATATTTGCCGCCTTGCGAACGGTATTTCCGAAGGCGGGAGGTTGCGCTTGAGACTCAGAGGGGCGTGCTTTCGAGAGCATGGTATCTTGAGAGGCGTCCCGACGATGGGACGGGTTATTGGGAGTGGCAGTGCGAGCAGAGGTGCCATGAGTAGCATCCTCGGCGATATGGACCCTGCGCTGGTCGGAGCCGCGGGTGGGTGGCTTGGAGGAATCTGCGATGCTTGCAGGGGCTATGGTTGCAAAACCGTTCGTAGTCTCGAGGGTACCTTCCACCTCCTGGCCGAAAGTCTTGAATCCTTTGCCTGCCTTGCCTACTCCACCGAGCAGGCCCTGGCCAACCTTTACGAATCCAGCCCCAACATCGGCGATCCTAAGTCCCTTGGAGGAGTCGGGGCGAGCGGGGCCATGACCGTTAGATGTGGATTGGTCGTCGCTGACCACGTCTGCAATGTCTTGGGGGTCTTCTTCATGGTGTCCAGAGCTGATGCCCTCGCCAGCAGCGGCCATGCGTTTTGCCTGATCATCCTCCAACTTCTGACGCTCTGCGCGTTCTTGCTTAGACGGTTCTTTGGTATGCAATTGCTTCCTCTTCTGCTTCTCTTCCTGCTCTCTCTTCTTCAGCTGTTTCTTTTGCGAGCTTAATCAGATCTGTCTCGGCACTCTCAAGCTTGGCGTGGACCTTTTCTCGCTCATGGACTTTATCAAGGAGCTCTTGCATATCCCTGTTGAGCCAGACATTTCGGATCCCGCCGGGGAAGACATCAAACAGACCTCTGAGCGCTTCTTCACTCATCCATTTGGAGGGGATAGAGTTGACTAAGACGGTCGTCGCCGACGCTCTCAAGCGGTGCTCCGCACTTGTCAGGTAATCTTGGCGAACTTTGATGTAGACACGAAGTTCGAAGAAGAAAACGGTGCAGACCCAACCAATCACGAGGAGTGCTAAGATGAGATGGGCCCAATAGCGTTCGGTATTTTGGGCTGTGATATTACCCCAGGCCAGGGTATCGAGACCTGTAACGGCATTCGGGTCGGTCGATTCGTTGTCGTCTGTATCAGCAACAACTTCTTGGCCCTGTCCGCCGATATAATTTAGAGGAATTAGGATAGGGAGCACCACCGTGGCAATAGGGATAAAGATTATGAGGAGGGTTTTCAGGTATCGGAGGAAAAAGTAGGCATCAAGACCACATTTTTCGATAATTTCCCTGTCGTTGAACTTCATCAACGCCCTGAGCATGCCAACGGGTGAGGTCGGTGGGGGTTCGGTTCTTTCGCGTTCAGGAACGAGAAACGTTTTGGGCTTGCTGGAAAGAGTGTGTGCACTTATGTTAGTGATCGAATAGCTTGCTTTCGATGGTTATTGGGTAGGGAAAGAAAACTGAACAAAAGAAAAAAAAAAAAAAAAAAAAAGGAACAGGATGAAGCGAAAGTGGGAGTAGGACGTACAAGATCCGGGCTAACTTGTTCCTAAGCAGCAGGAAGATGGCGATTTGGACCCCAAAACTATCAACGCGACCACCAGGGCACCAAGGAACGCTTTCAAGCTGATTCCCTGAAAGCCCTGGGCACTGCCGGCGCTGCCTTCAATAGCTGATGTCGTGGCCGATGCAGAATCGACGGTGGTCGATGCTGTTGTGGAAGCCAAGGTAGACGAAATGGCTGACGTTATGGTGGAAGAAAGACCGGAGGTGATGCTCTCAGTGAGGCTTGTCGCCTCCTCCGAAATGGTTGAGGCCATGGTGGGCCAGTTCACGACTACGCGGTCAAGTGGGTGACGTAACTGATCGTGGTGTGTTGGTATGGGCCAGCTCGGTGCTGGGAGAGCACGAAGGTGAAGCCAGTAAAGTCAAGTTGTGCTTCTTCGTTGAGCCTTTCCTTGTTGGTGATGGGATGGGGAGAGTTAAGAAAATGGGAGGTAAGGGGGTCTCGGAGGACGGGTCGTGGAGGGTTGAAGAGAGGAATAATACAGTGTCCCAAGATTAGCGAGGGGAGGAACAGTACCCTGAGGTTTCAGATTCGATGACGAGGGGATCACACAAGTTAATATTGCGCGCGGCACCAAATTGAGAGGTAAACTTGTCCCAGAAGAAAAGAAAGAATAGGGAGTCGAAAGACAAGGCCCTCCAAGACGTGAAGACGCTGGGAGAGGAAGAAAAAGCGCCACATCTGCATCCAGTGTCTATTTTATCTGTAGCCAGCGGCCAACAACTGGTTTTTGTTCCCCAACATCATTGATCTTCGCGAATGTTAGCATCAGCGATGGGTGATCTTTCCCTGCTCAAAAGGCGCTAATCGAGGAACAAGCTAATAGATCATGTCTTGGAGCGAGAACCGAAGTATCAGTACCAAGTACCCACCCCTGAACTGCTGAGTCATCCACATTAATATTCTCGTTTTCCGGGTTTCATTGGCCTAATTAACGACGTAAATGTATCCGATACACAAAACTCCTTTTTGTTTGACGCTCCCGTCAACACTTGTCTTGCCCAACCGCTTTGTCGACTTGCCAGGGGCATGTGATTGGTTCTCAGCTCGCCCTGGAGGGACCCTAGATCCCTTCAAGGGGCTTCAAGCGAAGTGACATCATCCGCCTTGATTGGACATGGACAGCTTGCGCCCATCTTTGTCCTGCCCCTTGGACGCTCTCTTTGCCGCTGACGCAAACCACCATGGCCTCTTGGCCAAGCAATCGATGGCCCGGCGCCCGATCTAGACGGCCACGCAAACAATGAGAGGCTGTCCCTGAAAACGGGAAGCGATTGCTGGGGGTTTCGCGCCTTCCAAAGCAACTGCACTCTCCGGTTCTATCTTTAGGCCCTGATCCTCCCGCTATTTTGCAGGCCAGGTCAGAACAAGCGCCGACCCTCCAACGTCTAACGTCCATTTCAAGCCCATGGGTAGGGATCGTCCGTCCATTCTCAATATATTCCCTCATATCTTCGGGATGCAGCGAGCGCAGATCGCCAGGTACGAGGCGCCTTTGAACCCCATCTTGAAGGTCTTCAGAGAGAAGAACAAAGGAGGGCAGCACAGAGTGGAAAGGGGAGGGCAGATGACGTTGAAACATGGGAAAGCGACAGTGTAAGCGTGTCTAAGTCGTCCCTTTGGCCGAGATGTCCAATGGTACAAGTGCAGCCAACGTGCGTCGTTGGTTCCCTCCATTTTCTGCGATTCCAGTTATCTTATCAAAAGAGGTGGATAGTCCGGTGCCATTCTGCTAGGTGGGTCGGAGCGCAAAACGCCGGGTTTAGTCGCGGAGTAATATCTCAAGCTAGTCGTGTTCCTCAAGCTCCCAATCAAGGCACGGAGTTTCCGAACCGGCTCCCTTGTGCTATTGGATCGAGAGGAGGTCAATGATCAAAAGCAGGCCTGTGGAGTGTACAAGCGTATTTCCGGGACCACATCGTGACGCAACACTGGATGCGAGACACCGACCTCTTCTCAGCGGATCGTGAAGACCATGCTTGACCCGGGAGTGTGGACGGATTAATTGCGATGCTGATATCTCGTCATATTATGAAGTTCCCAAAGCACCGGGTTCGACTTTTGACTGGACATTGCCGGAAATACCTTGTTGTTCCTCTTTCTTCGCTGTGTAACAGTCAGTTCTCCTCACCTCCAACGCAGCGGCATTTGTTTCGATGTATACATCAGGGACATCATTGATGTGTCACGAAAGAAGCGGTGCACTATTGTTTGGGGAAGAGAGAACTTCAACCTTCCAAAGGAAATAGAGTCGAGGCCAGGAAACCCTCCTGACCTACCAGCAGTTGATAATTCGATATTACATGGTCTCCACTGCCGTTGCTACAACATTTGAAATATCTATGGATGCTTGACAAGTCGCGAGGTGTTACAAATACATAGGCTTCTGGCTTCTATGACAACAATCTAGTGCACCATGTCAATTCTACTCAACTTCTTCTACCAGTATGGGCATGAGCAGGCGTGATGGGTAGAGGCTCGCATCTCTTTTGAGCCACCAAAGAAAACATATTGAGGAAACCCCGTTTCTTTTTTCCTTTTTTTCTTCCCTTCTCCATCCCAACTCTAGATTGATAGGGTGCGGGGTAAATAGCCTCGAAAATTCGAACCGAGCCACAGACGACCCTAGAAGTATCTATTGATCGATGGCGAAGAGGAAATGTATAGTAATTCATTGTTGTTTGTGTAAGGGGGCAAAAGACTCTTCCGAGACCAGGGCCTTTCTCCACTCCCGGCCGACCAACAATCGAGCAAATAGCATCAATTGTTATCGTGTTGGTTGTGGCATGATGCTGACAGGAAAAGGAGCCAATGGGATAGGTTCATTCCCAGGGCGGCAGGCGAGGGCCGCCATGTTGGGAGGTCCAGATGAGTGAGGCTTTATTGGAGGAACTGGGAGTTTATTGATGTCCTCATCGGCTGCTCTTGGAATCACAGAGAGAGATGAGAGATGGCTCAACTCTGTGGACTGCGTGGATGGCGGCGCATTGGGGGCGACGCGTACCTCGTGCTCTTCGGTTGATGAATGTCGGGCCCAGGACGCCTCCATCAGTTGCCGAGTCGCTCCCGGTGGCGTTTGAGAGGTGCGGAACCTGCTCGCTCGTGTGGCACGCACAAGCTGGCTCCACAGGATTTTGAACTTTTCGGCAGTTCGCCCTCGGCCAAAAAGGGCCTTTTCCCCTTGACTGTTGGGGAAGGCGCGGGTGGAGCTTTGCCCACTTACACCTTCGCCGGCAGCCCTGCCTACGCTACTTGTACAAAGGACGCAATACGCAGGAGACACAAGCATTTGTTTCCCCATCAATTATGCTCCAACCGGGAAGAGGGAAGGAGCCTCCCTTCATCTCCCCGACACTTGCCATTTCCCAGTCCCTCATGGGATCATGGCCATGGATTGATGGCTTGTTCCTTCAACTTTACCCCATGCATCCACATCCATCTCCCCCATCCTCGCCATGCCACCCCTCCCTCCCCCATTCCCCACCATCCTCCAGAAAGAAGCACTGGCTTTCCGAGATCGTCAACTCCGCTGCCCCTCTCCCCTCTCCACCACATGTAGACCCGTCGACTATGGCAGTAGATGTGCCGTTCTTCCTAGCGTGAGACCCTTTACGGGACTTCCGATGCCCAAATATTCAATATACTAATATACTCTCCCGCGCGGCCTGCCCCTCCAAGTCCCTGTCGCGCAAATAGTCTTTTTGAAGTATTCGGTTATTACCTGTTTTTTTTTTGCCCCTACTTTGATTTCCCTCTACAATCCTCATCCATTTTCTTGCCTCTGCCTCCTTCTCGTCTTAGACATAGCGAGCTCCCTTCCCTCACAATTGTGGCCATATTATACTCCAACTACGGGACCCAGTACACACTTTTCTTAATTGTCCGTCGCGTGTCCTAGCCGAACAAAACTCGAACCTTGCGTCTTCCAGGTCCGATGGCCGAGACTGAAATCGAACGTGCCTCTCCTGCTTGCTTCATGTCCGAACGTCACCTACACGCGAAAACGGAGTCTACCATGTCTAGTCCTCTCGATCTCCACATCGCCGTCATCGGTGCCGGTAAGAATTCCCCCTCTCCCCTCAGACCGAATACTTCGGCTCTGTTAGGCGAGGAGTCCATCTGCAAACCCGTGGTAGCGCTGACGCTGACTTGGACTTGTCGGACTAAGGCATGGGCGGCTTGGGAACTGCCCTGGCCCTCGCTAAGAAGGGATTCAAGGATGTCAACGTCTACGAAACTGCGAGCAACCTTGGCTTCGTGGGAGCTGGTATCCAAACCGCCCCAAACATGGCCAGGATCCTTGACCGGCTCGGCTGCTGGGAGGCCGTCTTGAAGGACTCGACGCAAGTCAAAGGCTCTAGCATCAGGCGTAAGTCAAATCCTCGCGCGCGTCCTCTCCTTTTTCTTATTCCTCTCCTCCTTTTGCGTCGCTCTTTCATTCCGAGGCGATTTCCTGTTCTAGAATTTTTTTCCTTTCTTCAACCTCTAACCGCAATTCATGGCATGCAGAAGGTTCAACGAATGCGGAGCTTAGCAGTGTTCCCATGCCCAACATCGAGCAGCTCTATGGGTACCCGCATTGCACAGGCCACCGATCTTCCTCGCGGGTGGCATGTACGAAGCTTGCAAGAAGGAGAGCGCTATCAAATTTCATTTTGCTACCCCGCTGGTCGAGTTCACGGCATTCTCGCCGCAGCCCACTTTCCGCGTGCAACCTCGCGGCGCCGAGCCCTATACCGTCCGCGCTGATGTTGTTCTTGCCGCCGATGGCATCAAGAGCTTGACTAGGACAGCCGTACTTGCCGCCGCCAATGCGGTCGGTGAAGAGGCCGAGACTGAGCAAGCTGCTTACCGTATCATGCTCAAGCGCGAAGATATGGAGAAGGACCCCGAGCTACTTGAGCTGCTTGACAGCGACTATGTCATCCGCTGGATCGGTGAGAAGCGGCATATTATCGCCTATCCTGTTTCCGATAAGACCATCTATAACCTCTCAACCACCCAGCCCGACAAGAATTTCGCCTCCGCTCCATCGGCCACTTACACCACACGCGGAGAGAAGAGTGTAATGCTCGACGTGTTTCGCGACTTCTGCCCACTGGTCCAGAAGATGCTTAACCTCGTCCCTGAGGGAGAAGTCTGCGAGTGGAGGTTGCGCATGCACAAGCAACTGCCCACCTGGACCTATGGCTCCGTTGCCCTGCTTGGTGACGCGTGTCACCCCACTCTCCCACATCTTAGCCAGGGAGCCGCTATGGCTATCGAGGATGGGGCCGTTCTCGCCGAGGTTCTCGCCCTGGCCCCTGACACCGCGCCCGAAACCCTGGCTCGATGTCTCAAAGTTTTTGAGCTTTCTCGCAAGGAATGGTGCACTTCCCTAGTTGATCTAGCCTACTTTTCTGGCCGAACTCTCCATCTCGGCGAGGGCAAGGCCAAAGAGGAACGTGACAAGCAATTCGCCGACGCCAAAGCTGCCGGCGAGGGTGCTGTTCCAGACAAATGGGCTTCCCCGAGGTCCAAAAGATGATTTACTCCAATGATTGCGTCGCCAACGTTTTGAGAGACTTTAACGAACTGTTTGCCAAGACCGCCGAGCTCGCCAACGCATCCATTGAGAACGGTGTGCAGCAGAACGGTAACCATCAGAACGGTGACTATCAGAACGGTGTCCGCGAGAACGGTGTGCAGCAGAACGGTGTTGAAGAGAATGGCGTGGACCTCGCTTCCAAGCGGAAGAGGGAGTGCGCGACCCCAGTTCCCGAGACTGCTGCCGCAGCTGCGCCGGCGGTCTCTCCGAAAAAGCCAAGACGGACGACGCTCAGAATGGGACAGCACAGGCCATTTGATATCCGAGACGAGTGAACCGGGCCATTGATTCATCCATACCACCAGTTGTTTGTATTCCCACTTCATGATATATATTTCGCATATAACAGAAATCTTTTTATTTCAAATACCATAATCACATGGCGGGAGCCCCGCAGCACGCCGCTTCTACCTTACTTATTCATTGCAATGGACCGCGTCGTGAACCATTCCCCAGATATGCGAGAGATAGTAAAAGTACATGCAAAAAAAAAAAAAAAAAGAGACACGATTGGGATATGAACTGAAGCGGGGGACGTGGAAGAGGATAGGAAAAAGGCAAGTCGATATGAGAGGAATGGGAAAAGGGCAGGAGAAGAAAGAGCAAACATGCATGCTAGAGAGAGTAATAGTAGAAAAGAAAAGAGCAGGCAGGGAAAAAAAGACAAAGAAGAGAAAAAGGGACAAAATGTAGGCATAATCAGTGAGGATTATAGTGCTTCATGAGAATGCCTAGCCTCCAACCTGACCCTCTTCTGTGTTCGTGACGAGGACCAGGCATAGTGTGGGTGAGGGCAAGCGATCGAGATTCGGATATTTCGTTGCGGGGCCTCGGTTTCTCCAAGCTGTGCGGCGATCGATTCGACGTCCAGGGATTCTCTATGTCGCGAGGAGGTTCGTGTGCAGGTTGTCGTCTACACGTTTGAGGCGGTCTTGGCCCTAACGTGCGGTCTCGTACACCCTGAATCCCGAGAGCATACCCAGGTAGGTCAAAAGCAACCCCGCCGCTGCCAGCTTAGAAGAGTAGATCCAAGCAACAGCAACATGCCAGACCAGCGAGCAGACCCTCCATCAAACCAGGCTTTCGCCGTCCCCTGTCATCGTCGTAGGTGCCTTGTGGGGGTATTGTTGATATGGGCCGGCGGGGTACCCTTGCGGAGGATACCCACCTTGCTGATAATAACCGCCTTGTTGGGGATATCCGCCTTGCGCATAAGGATCCTGACCGTAAGAACCCTGAGGAGGTCCATAAGGACCTTGTTGTTGCTGGTTGTAGCCCATCGGGGAGGCTGACTGATATTGGGGGTTAGAATAGTTGGGATCTTGGTAACCGCCATAGGCTGCCTGGGGAGGTTGCGGGTTGCCGTAGGCCGGCGGATCGTCGTATTTCGAGGCCATCGCGGCAACGGAGATATTCTTCAAGCTTCCGAGGTAGTATTGGTAGAGCGTGTATGTAAATCAGGATGTGAAGATTGTCGGGAGCGAGATGCGCAACAAAACGCGATGACGTTGGTAAAAATAGATAAAATGATTCGAAGAAAAAAAAAAAAAAAAAGGAGGTTTACGGTTCGCGAAAGAAGTACGCAGTTTGAAAAGAGAATCTGAGGACACAGAAGTGGAGTGTCACAGGTTGTCGAATGGGAGGGAAGAGTTTCAGAAAGACGGCGAGGGGGATTCGGGGCCTTTTGGGATGAGCAAAAGGTAGATCACGAAACAAGCAGCAGCTTTTGAGGCTGAGCAGCAGGGGCGACTTCCGGTGAAGATTACGTGCGTGGCCTCTGACTGGTTCCTCCTGCCATGGTGTAGGCGTGGTGGTGTTGTCGGGCTTGGCAAATGGGTGGCGCTTCGTGATGGACGCGAGGTTTGGTGACGAGTCCTAAAAGATTAAACTTTTTTGGCCTCGTCGCAGTTCAGCAGCCTCCAGTTCGGGAACGATCAATATTTCCTTTGGGCGCCCGGCGGGCCAGCCAGCCCAGCGAAAGACGGGATTGTGGGGGAGGGGAGGAGGGGAGGAGGGGGGAAGCGAGTCGGACGGCCAGTCATGGGGGAGCACCCCGACCCCGTCCAGCGCCGCTGGCTTGCGAGAACATTGAACCCTTGAGCTTGGGGCGCCCTTTCTCATTGATCGTTGAGCCCAGCCAGAAGCTAGAAGGATCAATTGAAATCTGCACCAGCTCTCAAAACGGCAGCCGGCACTCTGACCGGTCAAACAAACCTGTGAAGACCGACGGAAAAGTGCCTGGGCACAGCTCGAATGGCAAATACCCGACATCTCGGTATCCCGTTCTCGGATCCTACTCTTGCATGCACTAAAGAGGACACCAGCTCGACTAAGGGGTTCGTCTTGGTCGGGTTGGGATGACGATGGGCTCGCTTGTCATCACTCATCAGCAAGCATCAAATCCCCACTCCTTCCACCAACTCTGCTCCCAAGTCCCGAGTAGGAGGATTATTGAAAGTTGTCAATCAGAGTCGTGTACTATTGGCTCCTCAAGGGTCCACCAAGTTAAACAATGTTAGCGCTCAAGGCGCTTCATCCCTCTTTCTACCAGGGATCAGCTCAACTTCAGCTGCTGAAAACACCCAAAGATGCAAGTTTCAATAATATTAGCTGCTACTTTTAATGATGCATGTAAAATATGCACTCACCGAACAAAGTCGTTAAAGGCATTATTACACTCAGATAAATCTTCGAGACCCTAGTGCTGGCACTCTGCATTCTGCAAGAAATCGGGTGGTGGGGGCGCCCTCCTCTTTCGCTCAGGCGTGGCGATTCCTGGTTTTCAAGCCAGCTTAGGGTACAATTAATTAGCCGAGACCAGCGATGCCGCTAAGTCAAGTAGTATTATCCATCCATGGATGGATCCATAGATGGATCAATCCAACATGACCAAGTCATTTGGTGTTGGCAACCCTCGGCGCCCTGACTCGGGTGCGCTTCGCAAATAAGCCAAGGCTAATGCAGCACTAAATTCTTGTGAACATAATACCGTCGCCGTCATGAAGTTTCGGGCTTCGGGGCCGAAATGAGAAAATCCGATCTCCACCTCAAATGTTAAGCTTTGTCGCTCCCCCACGCGTGCAGGCAGGGGAGCGAATGGAGTTGGGGCATTTCATACAATGACCTCCCAACGCACCCCAGTGGGACTGCGTCCCTTCCTTTCATCAACGTCGAATGGGTTGGTCGGGCTGCGTCTAGGGACTACATATAGACTGACCAAGACACGGCCTGATGGTGGACAGAAGAGTGCATATAGCCTTTTCGAAACAACTTGTGACATCTGTGGCGCCCCTCTCTTCGTAGAGTCAACACCCTTCCGCACGCCTCAGACTTCGGTTTGCAGACAAGACCCCTGGGCTGCATGCATTTCTCTACAATTCCCCGGGGAGACAAGGAGGAATCCCGTTCCTTCCACAGAATGTATTGGCGGGAAGAGCCCGCGGGACTAAGAACAGAAGGCCCTCATGTTGAAGCCGGTCATCGCACCTGCACGAGCAATCGCACGAGCGCCGAGCAACCAAGAGAGGTGCTCGAATTCCCGTTGGGCTTTAGTGGCGGAAGGCACCAAGCTTACCTCAGTGCTGTATGCTGCGAGGAGGGGCAGATATAAAGGTAACCCGCAGGCTCGCCATCGCAGTACGGGATTGAGGGCTGGGTGTCGTGATTGAGAGCCCTGGAGGGAGAGAGAGGGTGCAAGGATGATTACAGGACAATCAATCCTTAAAGAATACAACAGGCCAACCTTGCATCAACGCTGACATGGGCATCGTCCGATGGCCAGCCACATTGCAGATGTTCATCCCTCGCATGGCTCCACCAGCCAAGGATGGCAGGTACCTTTCCCTGGGGCGGGAAGGGGCCAGCCATGGGCTCGACGTGGCTTTCTGTTTGTCTTGATGTGGTGCAAGGGCCATCATCGCTGCAATTAAATGGCGAAGACTTGCTCGTGAGTGCGGGTGCCTGTGGGATCCTGGAGATCCAGACCGCCAAGGGCAGACGCCCAAGGAACATTGAATATCGTCCTGAGGTAAGACAGCACTGTGGTTTAGGGCACCGGCTCTTTCAATACCCCGCCGCCTCGCGTGGGGCCAGCCATGGCTTAATCACAAAGGCCAGTTCTCGGATACGTACTGTCTAGTGTAGAAGTTGGGAAGAGATGGCTCGTCTTGACCAGACCTTGGCGCAACCTGCCTGACTTGTCCGGACATCGCGGAATGCAGGAGAGCCCTTCCAAATACTATTGCCTTTTTCTCTCGCCTACATGCTGTTGAACCTGAAAGAACCAGTCATAGAGTCTTAACCTGACCCTCGTTGCAGTTGTCGGTAACCAATGGCTGCCATCTCGATGTGCGAATGGAGGCACCTCCCTCGCCTAGTTGACTGTAGCGAATTTGCCCCACTCAGGGTTGGTTGGTGGGAGCCCCAGAAAGTACAATGATTTGAACCCTGGAGCTTTCCCTCCTTTCGCGCATCTCTCCTTCCCGTCACTTCACCCCCGTCCTCGCCCACTTTGTCTCTTGGCATCGACTATTTCTTCCCCGGCAGGCATCTTGATTTTGACCGAAGGGTCCACAACATCATCAAGCCAGCTCGATTGAGTGATACCCCCTCCAGCCAGCCAGCCAGCCAGCCAGCCAACATCCCGCGGAACCTCAAGTCCGGGCCTCTCCATCCACATCTTGGCATTAGTGTAGCTAATGCGGGAACCGAGGATCCATCGGTCTGCATGACGAAAGACTATAACACCGGGAATTCCTCTCGGCCGTGGCCCTAAGACCTCTGTCAAAGGTGCACGACGTTTCCTCTTCGGCACCATCCACTCACCGGTCGACCCTTGTAGGAAGGTGTCCTTGGGTACCTGGTGGAGAGCTGAGCATTTCAATCGGGCAGTAAGGACTACGCCAGTCGCGACCAATTTCGCTACTTACACTCTCTCTGGCGCTGCCATCCATCCCATCTTCCTTCAATCTTTCCCAAAAGGTCGCGCTCTTAACCCCCACCCACCCACCCCTAGCCACAATATATCATTGCTGCCATGCCCGAGGTGCTTCACTTTCCCGACAAAAATGCTCGGGCGCTCTTGCCGTATCTCCCACAGCCCCCGCAACCTTCCGCTCTTGGGGAGCTACCCCGGACTAGAGGCGGCCAAGTCGTCTTCGCCGAGGCCCGCACTCTCGCGCCCGTTCGTCACTCTCACATTCGCCACCTCCCTAGACTCATCACTCGCACTTGCCCCTGGAACTCGAACGCGACTCTCAGGGCCAGAATCCAAAGCCATGACCCATTACCTTCGAAGTCGGCATGATGGCATTTGCGTCGGAGTCAACACGGTCATCGCGGATGACCCAGCCCTCAACTGCCGTATCGCCTTGGGCGAACAGCCCCAACCCATCATCATCGACCCCCAGGCCCGATGGAACATCTCGGACCAAAGCAAAGTCCTCCAAGTAGCGAGGGATGGAAGCGGCAAAGGCCCCATCATCGTGACTGGAAACCCAAACCCCCTCATACCTATCTGAGACTCATTAACCAGGTTGGAGGCAAGTTCCTCACAGTCAAGCTGAACGAGAGCGGCCGGTTCGAGTGGCCCGACATCTTCGCTGCCCTTTTCGAAGAAGGACTTCGCAGTCTAATGATTGAGGGCGGTGCGTCCGTTATCAACTCGCTCCTTGAGCCGGTCAACCAAGTCCTCGTGGACTCTGTGATTGTCACAATAGCCCCGACTTGGCTTGGCCAAGGTAGTGTTGTAGTCTCGCCCGATAGAGTCCATGATAATGGGGTTCCCGTCCCCGCTGCGAGGCTTTCCGATGTGGAGTGGCACCCCTTGGGAGAGGATGTCGTCTTGTGCGGTCGCTTCTGATCAATGATGCCACAGACTCGCTCCACTACGGCCGACGATGCATCACATTTGATGGTGACCGAGTCACGGCCAATCCGCAATCCTCATCTACACCCCCTTTCTAAAGCTTAGGCTGTCAATGCAGAGATAACCATCAGAATAATAACTGTCCGCCATGGTACTAATCTCCTCGGCTAGAGTAACACCGCGCCCACCGTCTCCATGATGTGATGCTAACATGCTTCTGCCCTTTTATTTTCTTTTCTATATATGGCCCTGCCACTTGATCTCAGCCCACCTCAGGGGCGCATAGAGGAGACCTGTGGTAAAAATGCCAAGATGAAGGCAATGTCTCCAGTCCTCCTCGCGATAGGGCCCGTGTATAAGCTCGTCTCCATCCCGGGAATAATGACGCCTAGGCTAGCGAGAGACGCAATAATGGCTGCCAGGCCGGTTGGGAGGCGCTTCCCAACATTCCAGATAGAATGATCGAATGTGGCCCAGTTCATCTTCCTGAAGATTACCAGCTCTTCGACCACTATAGCATCAAAGCACCCGGCCCAGTATCCAATCAAAGCCAGGTAGTTCGTCAATGAGACCTCCCAGCTCTCAGCAGTTTTCATCGCCAATGGGACTAGTGCCACCATAGTTATCGTTACCCATATAAATCGATGGATGTTGGCAAAAAGCGGAAGCATCATCTGCAGGCAAAGCGAAATTGAATACATGGAAATAGCCACATTGCCAATGATGCTCAAAGCTAACATGACGAGAATAAGTTTCCCGAAGACCCCGAGAGGAGCCAAGGCCTCCGAGAGTATACCACCGATGCCGTGGGACTGGAACGCCTGTTGCCATGCCGGCACGTGTGGGATAGCACCTCCGATTGCAGCCCCAAATATCAGGAGCGGCACCGAGGGCGTGATCAGGGCCATCATCAGGTATGAGAATATCCGCTTCCTAAGTTGTGGCGTCAGTAATTTACGAAAGGTTACGGCTTTCCTCGTTGAGTGTTGGTTTTGATACCTACTTGGCAGCTGTTGGCTTGTGGTAAATTGAGTAGTCGGACACCGTCCCGCCAAAGGTCAAGAAATACCCAGCCATCAAACTTCCATACGAAAGAATTCGAGTTGCATCTACCGGAGGCCCTTGATGCTGCTGAGAGAGATGCTTCGAAGAGCAACCAACCACAACAAATAGAGCCACGAAGTTGGGGACCCATTGGTAACGCTCCCAGAGATGTACGGCATTGTATCCGAGGAAGGACGCAAGAAAGCCGATGACGCATACGATGACGATGCCGACGTTGACACTGATGTTCGCATCTGGGTTCACAGCTGAAAGAGTCTGGCCACCAAATATCGCCGACATCAGTGAAAATCCAGTCAATGTCGCGGCATTGAATAAAGTCGGGATTATTGCCAGGTATAGGCTGCAAAACCCCATCGTCAGAATGCAAGTCTTTAATACGCCAACGAGCAAAGAAGAGCCAACCTACCCAAATGAGTAACGAGCCTGTATCATCTGTCTCATTCCCGTTTTATAGCCCCCAATTCCAATGAACGCCGGCGGAATACTAGTCAAAATAGCAAAGAACACTATGACAAGAGTTGCTTCTTTGAGACTCAGGCCAAATGATGTTGTTGCCAATACTCCTGTCGGAATCCTTATTTCATCACCAACGAGTCAGCGCTGTGCTCCCTTCTTCTTCTCTCTCTCTCGGGTATACTCACGGCAGGATATTGAGAAGACAAGCAAAAAGACAGTGAAGATATCACTATATCTTGTTTGGGTCCTAAATTCTACAGGAACAGGCTTGATACCGTTTTCCTCGATGCCGAGGTCTAGAAGCTTCTGGTACCATTTTGCATTCTGCTCTGGATGCGTGCCGTACACTTCTCCCGGCAGCTGGGAGAAGATTGAAAAATTCCGCTTTGGGCAACGGCCGCTGGTTGTTGAATATCCTGAGCCTCGAGATCGTTCGCCACACGCTTCGGGTCTTCGTGGCCTGGTGACATGGCGAGAAGTGAATATTGAGGGAGAATTTTCTTTTTGTTGTCGACTCACAAATATGGGAAGTTTTCAGTGTTGGTGAGATGACATATCGTGAATTTTTGGGGGAGAAGCGCCCAAACATATATTCGCACGACCAGTCCCGACATCACCGACATTTCCTGCACCGGCCAGTGTCTCACCTCGCTCCGTTTCCATGTCACCGCTCGCCGTCTCTGGTGCAAAGGGCCCAACCACGATGGCCTTGTCATTCTACCGCATAACAAAACAGCACCCCACGCCAAGCATGCAGCCGAGTTACCTAGGCGATGTTGGAATATCCCTTGGAATGACATCTCGACAGCGCTGTAGGCCTAATTCAAGAGGTTTTGGTTCTAAACGTCGAACATCTAAACCCGCAAGGTCCCGTAGAGGAAAGGGACTAACACCAACCCTGCATGGCTACCCTATGGCCTAGGTCATGGAAGATCACTCCGCCACTTGCACAAAAACGACGAAGTATCGACGGGCTGCGTTTTATGGCTGGGTGGAGGAGCTTCGACTTGACACTATCGAGCGTGGCACCGGATCTAACTCATCAACTTCCTCAACTATTCAGCCTTCACGACACAATGCGCTCAAGAACTAGCCCTATAGCGGGGGCAGATCCCGCCTTACCCCGGGCTATCGGACCTTTAGAAGCGAGTACCCGCGACTAGAAGGATGACGGGCCGGGGGTGGGGGAGGGCGCTAGCACGCACTGAGCGGAAACCTTCTTTCTTTTTCCTCTTTCCTTTTCCTTGTTGAGGGGATGATGCGCAAAGCCACGCCCAGAAACCCAGGTCGACCAAACGGAACGGAGGAGCGAAAACGATGCTGCTATCGCTCTCGGACGGATTAGGCATGAATGTTAGGGTATCAAAGTTGACTCAATGACAAAAGAGGCTTGGCTCAGCCATGGTGGGGCGCCTCGCCGCAAGAACGAAACATTGCGAGGTTTTGGAGGCTCATTATTGAGGGCAAACTACAACTCGTAACCTGGGCATCGGTCCTCAGCCAGCTGTCTAAATGCCCTTGTTCCTTCACTCTGCTAAAGACGGACACATTTGTTTCCCTAGTCTTGCAGGGGGCCCCTTTCGATTGGTGCTGGTTACATCATGAGGGTGTCAACAGACTAGTTGGCTGGGTCTAGAACGAACAGGCTTGGCCCAATTTTTCGTGGATAGTCCTCGGGAAGCGGCCGTCCGAAACCAGGATATGGCCAAGAAAAGGAGGTGGGGAGGTTGACTGACGCCTCTGCGCAGGAGCGCTTGTCGATTGGATCTGGCAGCAGCCGTGCGGATCACGGCCATCGTACACAAGCGATCTAGATTCACTACATCCTGCCTGAAAGGAAAAGAAGTCCTCCGAATTCCATTTTCGGAAACTAAATCGGCAAGATGCTTGTCCTCAGACGCCACTATCGGGGAGGGCCGCTCTGAGTGCCTCGGATGTTGTTTTATTCCACCGGCCCCTTGGCAAGAAAGGGCATCCTCACTTCGAAAATGAGGCTTGCAGAAGCAACGGATGCAAATCTAGGTGTATTAGAAATACAATGCTTCTTTCGATGAAAGAGGGGCGCGGCGTGGGGTTCAAAGGCGTCTCACCCACCTCCCATCCACAACGCCCTGACTTCGATATGCCCAGCTTCTTGCACCTCGCGTATTCTCAAGTTGAGACTAGTCAGATGCAGAAAGACCATTCAACTCGCATAGCTATGGAGCATTAGTGAGAAAAAGATGCGAGATCTTGCTGTTTAAATGGCCACCCAACCATTCCTAGGAGACTTTGAAGTCCGGACTGGCAGGAAACCGCGTTCCTCTTCCTTTTTTCCCCTCCCCCCTCCACCTTGATCTGTTTCTTTTTAAGGCCGGAGGTTGACTACTTTTCTGAGGGACGGGGGCGGCGGGGAGGGGAGGGCGGGGAGGGTCTAAGGTCCCTGAAAGAAAGCTACCCCCGACTTCTTCGCGTTTATTAGTGTCTTATGACAAACGTGCCGCTCAGTGCCAGCATGCTTCGCTGATCCTTCTATAGAACGCCTAGGTCTACGGCCCTGCTCCGCTAAAAATGCGTCTGGCCGCTATGTATGACCTGTCAAAATTTGGTTTAACGGTACTTCGTTATGGTAGATTTAGAAACCCCCAGGTAGCATGCCATCTCGGCTGCTAGCTTGCGTAGGGTCCTGACGTCCTGCAATGTGATTACAGCGAGGATCAGACCTTGGCCAATGGTTAAGGTTGCTAGCTTTACAGGCCAGATCCTGCTAGTCGATCAATAGTTTACAGGCATGCAACTAGTGGATCAACTCTTCCGTCCTTCGGAGAGGCACACATGAACACTAGGGACGTTGCGTCTTCCACGTCGAGCTTCACCCTCAGCAGGTAGGCTAATGCCATGAAGGAGAATGAGGGTCTGCGGCCGAGATGGATATTTGACTGCTTGGCCGCGCTCGACTCGGATCTGTTGAACCGTCCTCGAAGACCTCGTTCTGTCTTCAAACTAGGATATCTCAGCCCTTATTCAGTCGCGCCCACCTCCAACTAACATCTCTGCAATGGCGGACATCACAAACATCTTTCAACAGGCAATGGCCTACTGTCTCCTGGCTCTGGTAGGCCTGGCCATCCTCACTTGGAGAGAGACTTATCGACGACGCCTTAATCTTCCCCCAGGACCCTGCGGAGAATTTTTGCTTGGCCATCTCCGGGTGATACCAAAGTCAGGAACCGCTGAGGCTTACGCCCATTGGGGCCGAGAATACAGTTGGTGGTTTCCATCTCTTCGTCCTCATGCTTTCCGTATTTCTTCACAAATGAAAATGACATGCTATTTGTGTCACGTTCTTCGCCTTGAGTTACCACTAACACCTGGCTCGCAACGCTGGCAGATTCTGATGTCATCTATCTGGAGTCTCTTGGGCAGCCTATTGTGGTTCTCAACACTGCAGAGGCAGCGGTTGAACTCCTAAGGAGACGAGCTGTGAATTATTCTGACAGGCCCCGATTTACGCTTTTTGAAGTGTGAGTGCTGGCTAGTCACAATCCCTGCTCTGTCCTTTGCCCTACTAGGGTACCCTTCCCTCTTTCCCTTGCTGCTGAAACCCCCAGCCTGGTTCCCCCCTCCCTCCTGGGCAAGGCGAGGTGAAATTCCACCCGGAGCTGGAATAGAATCGGGGCGGACGCACAGCTTAAGGTACTGTACCGAAGTACTGATGAGGGGACTCGCACAACAGCATGGGCTGGGGTGCGACCTTGACGTTTCTCCCGTTTGGCCCCCAATGGCGGATGCATCGCAAGGTTTTACAGACAAATCTCAGCCCTTCCAAGGTACGCCAATGGCACACATTGCAAGTGCGAGAGGCTCGGCGTGCCGCCGCCTCCATGTTCGCACCGAAAGCCAGTACTTGGCGAGATGTGCTCAAGAGGTAGAAGAACCCTTTTATTATTTCATTTTCTTCTTTTCTTCTCTGCTTCTCCCTTCCCCGTCTCCCCACCTCCTACCCCCGGTCTTACCCATCCTCTTTGTTAATGTACCATGCGCTTTCAGCCCATGATACAAGCCCTGTTTCTTTTCGTGGACGATCATCCGTCTCGGACCTCGCCGTGAGGCTTGACGAATAGGTTACACAAGGTGGAGAGGGGTCAGGATATTGGTGGCAAAGATGATAATAACCCCCTCCGGCTTCCTTGCAGATTCTCAGTTGCCATTGTTCTCATGGTAAGCTACGGGATAGAGGTAGACTCTGACGATGACGAGTATGTGAAGATTGCAAACGATGCAATATACGCCACTGGCAATGGAGGTCTTCCGCCGGTAGTATTGTCGACCTATTTCCACTTGGTAGGAGAAAACCCTGGCAACATCCCCCCTTCCCATCTCCAAACCAAACTACCACCCTGGTCCTGTGTCTCGATAGTCTCGATCGATGATCCTCTATCGAGCCACGGAGCCGCTAACCCATGCCACCCAATCACTGACCTTCAGTTAACTTACCGCGCGGGATGCATTGCACTAGCCCGGCACCTACCAAACTGGCTCATTAGGGACTGGCCTTTGAAGTTTGCACGAGAATGGGGATGGGCCATCCGCAAGCTGCACGATGTGCCCTTTGCGGAAGTCAAGGCCGAAGTGGTAAGTTTTGAGGACCGAGCTCGTTGGCTCTTCCAAAAGAAGAAAGAAAAAGAAGAAGCTGAAAGAGAAAACGACGCTCTCACGACATGACTAACGCCGGTTGGGCTATTTTCGCCCTCGTTGGACCTTGTAGGACGATGGCATCGTACGAAAATCCCTTGCGCATCAACTTCTTTGGGATTACAGGTTACTCAAGATGCAGGGGATGAATCCATCGTTCAAGCTAGAGGATATCAAAGGTGCTAGCGGGGCAGTCTTTATCGCGGGCGCGGACACGGTGAGGAACTCCGCCTCTTTGTTGAGGATTCCCTAGCACTCTTCCTCTTTCTTTCTTCTTCTTTTTTGTTAGGGACGGCTGCTCAGCGCAGCGCGTTAGCCAAGACCAGCCCCAAGACGAGCCAAAGGATGATGGACTAACCTGGATTCTCGTGGGGCCATCCCCTCCCCTCCCCACCTTCTGTACAGACATGGGCAACGCTGGCCGTGTTCATGCTCTGCATGGTTCTTTTCCCAGAAGTACAGGACAAGGCACAAGCGGAGCTTGACAGTGTTCTTGGTCCCAACCAACTTCCCAACTTTGACGACCGGCCACGGCTTCCGTACATTGATCTGCTGTTACATGAGATCTTTCGGTATGACATCCCCCTTGCAAGCATGACTTGAGACGAGGAGCTGACGTGGGATTTTCTCCGCTCTCGCGTTCCCAAAACAGATGGGCTCCTCTTGCTCCCCTAGGTGAGTGGCTTGAAGCATATTCCTACCCGATACTCCGTCGACCGCCCCGGACTCCCCCGTGCGGGTGACGGGCGGCAATGTGGTTCTGTGCGTGAATGCACACATTGATCCATGCATGTATGTGCGTGTCTTTGTTGGTTGATCTCGTCTCTCACACATCGTGGCCCCTCCCTTTTCCTCCCACCTGACAGGCATTCCACACAAATCCGTGCAAGATGACATCTACAAGGGCATGTTCATCCCAAAAGGTAAGAGCTATCAATGATCGAGATGGTGTCCTCTCATTAGTTGTGCCGAGAAGGTGGGCAAGACTCGAGGCTAAACGTCCTTGCCTCCATTGCGTCTGGCGTGTTGGAAATATGTAGGGTAAGTGGGTGCCATGAGAGATAGTGTGTCACTACCACTGCCGGGTCTCGGCCGAACCGGGAGCATCGATTAACACGATACCCCATCATTAGCTCCATCGTTTTCGCCAACACCCACGCCATGAGCAGAGATACGCGTGTCTACAAAGACGCCGACCGTTTTAATCCCGACAGGTACCGTCCGCTTCCCGATGGGACTCCAGGGGAACCCCACCCAGTTGGGCATTTTGGCTTCGGCCGGAGGTGAGTTTGTAGCTCCCTCTCTCTTTATTTTATTCACCCCTTTTCTTTGCTTTCCCGTCCGTTTTGCATTTCCCGCTCTTGCCTTCCCTGGACCCTTCGCCCTTTCGTTCCCTTTGCCTTGTCTGGGAGACTCTCTCGCACTTCTTTTGTGTTAGAAGAATTTAGGGTGGGGGCGATAGGGGCGATGGTGGCGACCCGCATCTTCTCTTTGTCCAATCTTCATTTTCCTTTTTCCCCCGATGGCCATTTTCCTTCAAAGTTCCGTGAATCTCGCCCCTCTTCTAGAAAAGTTTCGCCTTTGTCACGGGGATCGAGATTCGTCGATGCCACTAGAGTCAAAGTTTGAGCCCAAAACGCTAAAAATGCGCGCTACTCGGTGGTGCCTCGTTTCGTCTTGGAAATATGACAGGTGTCGATGATTCGAAGATGCACTACCGTAGAAGGGTGGCGGGCACCAATCCTGCGACTGGGTGCCTGCTATCGCCAAGGGGGTCGGTTGACCCTTGCCGCTTGTGCTCTTCCGTCGCTCTCTTTCTCTCTCTGTCTCTTTCCGCCTCGCTTGGCTTGGTCCTGCTTACTTGGGGGAAGGGAAAAAGAAATTAACAGACAAAAAGATCGTGTGTTGGCAAGTATCTTGCCGATAACAGCTGTTGGGCAGTCATTGCTACTGTCCTAGCCACGTCGAGGATCGAGAAGAAGCGTGACGAGAACGGCCGCGTTGTCGAACCGACTGTGCAGTTCACCAACGGTGGTACCTGGTGCGTAACTCGGTCTCCTACAAACGTCTGCATTTCGGGGACGGGGCAAGAGTTGCAGCGGACCAACTCATGGGCCCCCACACACCTTGCACTTGCACAGCACGATCTTCCTCCTCCTCCGTCACCTTCGCCCTTGCCTGACACCACTCCCCACTCCCTACTACGTCCTACCCTTCCTCTTATGCTATACTCTACCTCCCCTACCGTCTCACCACTCCCCTCTCCCTTGACCAGGTTTTCTCCCCACCATCGATCGTCCCCACTCCATCGTTGCCGAAGGCCTCATCTCCCGTCCGCGTCTTGCCCCCAGCTCTTCCTAAGCCTTTCCTACTGCATAGATCCCCTTGACCACTCCACTCCCTCTCTCACTCTCTCACCTCAACCGGCTCCACCATCACACAAAGTCTTCACGCACACAATCTCCGCTGCATTACAAACCATGATCACCAGAAAACTACAACAGTCACCCCTCCTGCATCCCCGTTGCCCTCTCTTGCCTTTTTCCCCGTGCCCGTAGATTCCCTGCCCAAGTCTGCCTAGACCAACAGGTTCACCTACCGTCGAGGCTTAAAAATGTTGGGTGGGAGAAAGGAAACAACCAGTGTGTTAATTTTTCGGGGGCGGGAAACAAATAGTCATCCTGAGCATTTTGAGTGCTGGATTCAGCCTAGGTCCGCCAAGTCCATCGAACTATTGGCAGCAGCATCCTCTACGAGTAGTGTCAAGAGAAGGATCTATCTCACTCCCAGCTTTTCTAACCCTGGGAAAGATCGAGCGACGGCGAAAGAAGAGGCAGAAGGCCCAGAAGGTAGGGGAAACGGAAGGGGGGCGCGCGGGAACACGGTGGGAAGGATGGAAAGAGAACAGGGACCTGGTGTGACAATGGTTGAGTTGTGATAGGAAGGGACTTGGCCCACGGGCTAGAGACACGAGCACAGGCCTAGGTTACCGCTCACCGCAGACGAAGTAACTCCTAATGAAACTAACTGGCTTGCCCGACGGCAGAGGGCTAAAGAGAACCCATCTTGTTTGATGTGCCAAGTAGTCGCCGGCTATCTCTGTCCTCCATCATTAAAACCGGTGACTAGCAGGGATTTTCTGCCGGTTGGTCGGTTGGTCCCATTGCTAGTCCTCATCTCCACGGGGCTGAAGTATAGTTCCCCTCGTGTCACCAGTAAGAAGCTATCATAGACTATTACTTATCCTACTTACGTAGCCCAGACCCAAATGCAACAGAAACAGCAAGAAGTTCCCATCAAGAAGTTCCCATTGCCGTGCCCTTACCACCAAGACCAGGACCATCTCGTAGTGTCCCTTTTGTTCTGAGACTGGATATTAGGTGACACCCGACAACCAACCCCATCTCCTGGAGACGCTGAAACAGGCCGTAGCTCCTCCTCTTCGCCCTCACCCCCTGCCTCCTCTTCCATTGCTTCTGCTCCTGCTGGTGCTGATATCGTTTCTGGTTCTTCTGTTGTTGATGGTGATGTTGATGTTGCCGCTGCTGCTGCTGGTGTTTTCGGTGCTGTCGTCGCGGTTGTCTTGCTTGTTGCGGGATTTGTTGCTGGGAGAATTGAGAGTGCAACTGCCCATGTTTTCCAGAGAGGCTTCGGAGGCTGGTTTGCCTAGTAGGTACGCTAAAGGGCATGACATTCCCTGTCGGCGTGTTCTCTTTGGTTCTACCACCGTGTTTCCTACCCACTGCCTTCGTGCCAACCCCGGGGCTGCCGCTCCTTTCAAGAGAATCCTCAGGATAATGTCCTTTGCGAATCACGCGCTTGCTCTCGCTGCCATTTCCCCTTTCTTAATACTATCCCGACAACGGACCATTGCCTCGACAGCCCGTGTTACCCCATTCCAACCCCAATGCTTCATGGCGATCCTAACAAGTACTCCCGTTCCCTCTTCTCTCCTCGATTCCGCTCCAAACCCACAACCTTCCGCAGCTGCCATCCTTCCTATCGACCCATCTCTTGCCCAGAGGCATCCAGGATCTCGTCTTCGAATCGACGCCACCACCATCGTCTCAATCTTCGTGCTCAGATCTAGTTCCGACTCCCCATCAGAGGGCGCAAACGCTGAGTGACAGTATCCAAGGCGGAGTCGTAAGTAATCTTGGGGTGAGGCCCCAAGTTGGGCTTCCAGATCTCGCAAAAGGATATCAGAACGAGGCGGTAGAGGAGCCGAAGCATTCGAATACGATCGGACCTGAGGCAATAAAGGTGAAAGTTGAAGATGCACGAGCAACAGAACAGCCGTGTTTAAACTCAACGCCCTTCAAGAGGGTTAGCTGCCTCACTTCCTTCAAATTCCCCATTCCATCTTTCTCCAGCCCCGGAGCATCATATTTTTCATCCCCTTTCCGAAAGCCTCAACTTACACTGGGAATGTTTCCTCTTGGAGAATCTCAAGAATTATCGCGCCACCGACTGGGAAAACATCGACCACCAGATTGTACAGACATCCGAACGATACTGGGCCTTCGCGACGCGTGAGCTTCGAGGAAAACAAGAGTCTCGTACCCAGATGGTCCTTCACTTACTAAACGGCGAACGCGCTATCTCAAACTGACTACCCCATTCTTTCCAGATGGCCTCTTGTGTCGCGGCTTCTAGGCCATCGGGTCTTTGTAAACAAGCCTCCACCTCGACCGCAACCCAGATCGATGTCTCCCCGTTCACGACCGTCTCGAGCTCAGGAGTTACGCGTATCTTCGGTACAAGAACATGTGGCACGTAATGCTCTGTGTCGAAGCACAACGACTGGGCTACAGCCGAGCTCTTAGTTGCCAACACGGGGCCCGTTCTCGCCGCATTATCAATTTTTGCATCATATAGATCGCCAGTATAAGCAGCTCCCGACGTGATAATCTCCGAAGCACTAGAGTACAGCCCGCGGTGGCATTGTTCGCCAAGGGGAGGATGTGTGGCGAATGGCTGCCGCGGTCTCGTTCTCGGCACATGCAGCGATGCGGAGGGCGGAGACTCTGACGCAAATTGGCGTGGGAGAGTCGTTTGCTGAGTCTGTGTCAATAACGGCGAATTAGTGTAGAGCGCGTCGAAGTTATATTCACTCGTAGACTCGTGCCTAGGGTTACGCTGCTCCCATCTCTTCACGATGCTCAACGGTCTCGGAAGCTCTCCTGCTCCGCGTCTTGCGCTGGGAGATTGGCTCATGGTCGTGAAGCGACGCTGAGCCCGTTCCGCTGTTGGTGGCTTTCTTCGTATCTACAAGTCCTGTCCCGCTTGTGGCCGGACGGTTCTCCTCTTTCAGCGTCGTCTTGTCGATGATGAAGATGGCGCTCGCCGGATGCTCCCCAAAAATAAGATACGAGACAATTCCGACAATAGAAGATACAAGGATTATAAGCGCAATTATGAGCGATGGATAATCAATACCACTAGGCTCCTTGCACATGTTAATGGGGGAATGTAGACGCCTTGGACTCTGCTTTTAGTACAAAGAAAAAGAGAAAACGAGTCTCATATATCTAGCTTAGCCGTATAGTCCGATGGCAATGTAGTGAGAAATTTCAAGAGAAGCGAAATGGGGAAAGTCGATGTAAGAGAAGAATCAAGGGGAAGGGTATCAAACAAGCATCAACACTTGCGGCTTCCCATCACTGTTCGCTATCCACATTACCCTCTATTACAGAAAGAACCACCACTTGGTCCGGGATGACGTGGTCGCCAGTCAATGCAAGTGCTACCCATACTGAAGTCCTATACAAGACAGCTCAAGGACTCCGTTAAAAGTCCAGCAGTGATATTACTAAATCGGTACGAGGAAACAGTCTCCCTGACATGGAAGCAGGCTGAAGGTGTATCATGTCTATCAACTCGATTCCTCGACGCTCGGTCCTTGCAAAGGGGAAAAAAAGGAGAGAGAGAGAAGAAAAAGCAAGCAGGCGGTCCTGCGCCCCGCCTTCTCTCGCGACCAGCATCCAGGCTGATTGATCCAGCTCTTCTCCCGCGCGTACACCGAGAAAGCAGCAGGTAGGATACTACTTGGTGACACCAAGCGTCCTCATCAGGTTTCCTTTGACCGTTTCTACTTCGCTTTCCTCCATTGGCAGGAAGCCGATCTACGCAATGTTAGATTGATTCGGTATGGGGTGAAGGGGAATTTGACGCATGTCTGGACGATAGACACAAGGAGTACCTACCACGTCATCGATCCCATTGCCTCCGCCATAGAGTACCGGCTCTGAAAGGCTCGCCGTGATATTCTTCTTGACCCTGTCTTCCCATACCCCATCCCAGTTCCAGTCTCCCGGCCTCCGTACACCGGTAGCCGCTCGGGAATCCTCGGTTCACTTCCTCCGGCGGCTCCGGCCGCCTGTACTTGAACCCCGTCATCGAGTAGCTTGCCTTGCGCCCTCCTATGCGTTCTCCACGCGTGCCAGGCGCCAGGATTTCCTGCAGCCTCGATAGGCACTGAGTCGAGCACGGCCTCGTCGTCGAACGCACTCAACATGTACTTCAAAACATCGTACGTTGCTACCCCTGTACCACCCGTCTGCATATACCCCGGCGTATCTCCGACTGCGGGAGTCGATCTGCCATCGGGTGTGGTTCCGGCGCTAGTCACTTCGGGCCGGGGTTTAGTAGGCGTCTGTGCTTTGCTTTCCCCAGACACGGCCCGGTTCCTCCGGCCGAACCAGTCAGAAAATCCTTGGCGTAGGCTGAATCCGCCCGGGGAAGCCTCTCAGCGTCGGACGCGCTCACAGTTCCATTGTCTTGGATATCTGTCGTATAGGTGTAGTTGGAGAGCGGGGTGATGAGGGGATGGAAGATGTCGGTTGAGAAGGTGACGAGGGGGGAGGCGTGGGTACATGTCTGGAAAAGAGATTTGAAATCGGAGGATGGCATTCACATAGGGTCCTGTTTTCCGGCATCACCTCATCCCAATTAGTGTTCATGTGCTACTCCCGCCGCAGCGGACTGGGCGTGGCGGTTCACGTGGAATTCACCTTTACGCACGAACATGACACCAGACCATAGGGACGGATCGCCGGGGGTCAAGCTCACGAATACCCCTTCGGGGCACGCTTGTTTGAGACCGGTACTAAATCGCCTCCCGTTAGCTTCACCTTTGCTTCGTTCTAGCTCACGACAGCTCAAGCTCTCGGTTCTCGGGGAGTTGACCCACAATTCAGCGAGCAGGTGCTGCCGCCTGAGGGAAGGCAGGCTTCCCATTCGGGCGGATGACATAATTTATACGTTTGAGAGCAACGCTAGGAAACAAAAAGAGTCTTTTGTTTCTCATTGACATGAGTTTGACAACCTGGAACACGTTGGCAAGTCAATGATTCCACGTTTGGGAAACACTATCGATCGAGAGACGTCCAGGCGGTAAGCAAGGGTCCGTGAGGCGGTGTGGATTCTGCCGGCGTTTAACTTTCTTTCCAAGCTCGCACACCCAACTGCGGGGTAACTCGGCTTCCCTCGTGGAAAGAGTGATGCATGACGGAGGTCGGCCTTGACACCGTGAGGGGTCTATGAGTGTCTATAAGTCTATGAGTCGGAGGCAGCGGGTAGTGAGATGTTTCAAACTCATGATTTTATTCGGGAAACTATGATTTTAATTCTATTTGACTTCTTCTGTTTGTAAAAATCCAACAGTCCATCTCTAAAACAAAAGAGAGAAACGGGCGTTGAGGCAAATAGCGCCACTAGCAACCGCTGCCCCCCACTCAAGCTTCCCCATGACGACATCGAGAGACTCGTAATTGTCTCCATGTGAGCACCGCTACTGACCTTCGCTCCTTTGCACTTTTTTCTCAAAAGGGGTTTTTTTGGTTTTTTCCATTATGCTTTGCCTAGGCGGTGAGGGTTTTTTTTTTTTTTCAGGTTTCCTATCTCTGTCCAAAATTGCCGAGTTCACGCGTTGCTCTAGAGAGCTGTTCCTCTATCGAGAGAAGATGGAAAGGAAAGAAGAAGAAAGAAGAAAAAGAAAGCGAAAAGCACAAACTCATCAGCGCTTGGTTCCCAACCTCTGCTCAATCTTAGACGTTTCTTGCAATTTGATTTGAGACAGCTCTTCCTTGGTAGCATCGAAGCGAGCCGTGACCTGGTTGAAGGGATTCTCGGGGCTCTTTTCAAACTCCTTCCGTATCCGGTCCTTCTTCTGGTTCAGTCGCAAGCCGGCCCCTGTGCCGTCCGACTCCATCTCGGCAAGGCGGCGCTCCTCGTATTTGGCGTAGGCGGCGGGGTATCGCCTTTCCGGGTGGCGCTCGACCTTGGTGTCATTGGCGGTGCCGGTGGTAGGGTCAGGGCATCGAGGGCGTTGTCGATGCCAGAAGCGTTGAGAGAAGGAAGGGATCGGTTGGAATCGAGGTCGTCGAGCTGGGATAGGTCCGGGCCTCGGGTCTTCTTCACCGCTGCCTTGGACTTTTTCGGCGTCGACCGGCCTGGCAGGCTCTGTTCCTCTGCAGCAAGCAAGGCCTCTCGCTCCGCCTTCTTTCGGGCTTGGTCTGCCTTTTTCTCATCCTCAACTTCCCTGCCACGAGTCAGACACGTTAGTTGTAGATCTCGGCGAATAAAAGGTGAAAGAATTCGCACCGGGTAGCCCCGAGTCGGTCTGATGTGTGAAGGAGGAGAAGCCAGGAAAGCACCGTCAGGTGAGAAGTGGTCAAGGGAATGATGGAGCGTGAAAAAAAAAGAAAAAGAAAGAAAAACCCCCACCCAAGGGGCGGTAAACCTTGAGTGGAAGGTTCACTCCCAAGAGGAAAAAAACCTCGACGGGGTGTTGGAAGAGATTGCCTTACTTTTACGACTGCTCTTGGCGCCAGTCCTCCATTTTCCTCCTCGGCAGCCTCGTCCCTGGCCGCCTGTACAGCTGCCTTTTGGGCAGCCACCTCGGCCTTCTTGGCTAAGCCGGCATTCCTCTTGGTAGTGTCTCCTTTCCTTGGGCCAGCCATGGGTGTGAAGTTTCGGTGAGCGTATCACCACGGCGCTTCTCGGAAAGGTGAGCAGGGATTTGGAGGGTGGCGGGGTCGTTGACGGTGTCAGCTGCGCGCGCACGTTTATCCCCGCAGGATGGGCCGGGATCCGCAGAGGTGACAAGGAGCAAAGATAAAAAAGAAGAGGAAAAAAAAAAAAAAGAGTAGAAATCAATCAGATCGATGGAGCGATGGCAGCGTGCAAGGGCAGACTGATGTCGATGAGACGGGTTGGCTTGGTCGATGTGGCTGTTAAAAGATCACATTCGGCACATTTGCAGTCGAGAAAGTGGCACGACCAAGATTGTTGGAAGAGAAGGAAGAAAAATTATGTCAAACAGGAATGATTCGCCTGCGGGCTGCATCGATGACAAGAATGATGAACGTTGCCTGCGAACAACCTAATCTCGGTCTAGGGCTGGTTTGGCTCCGAGGAGGGGCACTTGTATTGAAATTGTGAGGGAATTGTTAAGCGTCAACTGGTGTACATCCAGTCTGCCGTAGCGAGAATTCAATGATACTGATCAAATGAACACAGCACCAAGACAACACAACTCATCAGATCAGTCAGAGCTTGAGGGGGACAAGCAGAAGTCGCCTCCACCTCGTTGATGCCTAAACCAGATGATCCCTAGTCTCTCGGCTCACACTTTTCCGTGTCTGTCCATCTATTCTTTGTAATTTGAACTCTTGGCTCTGTTTCCCGGTACGCCCTAGGGTTTTTAATTGTGAGGGAAACGACTGACTCCCCAAAAACAATCACCAGATATTTATTGCCAGCAATAGTTGCTTCTGATAGGGGAAATGTTTGGTTGATCCGCTGTCAAGGCTAAAGACCAGCGCCGGAGAGTGGTATTGCCAAAGGGGGAAAAAAAAGAAAGAAAAAAAGGAAATTTTTTGATATTGTTCGCCCTTGGTTTTTTTGTTCCGTAGACGTCAACGATCCTGCCCTTGCCCGGGTCGAGCCTCGGGCTGTAATATTCTCTCCCAACAACCCATGGCCTAACGGGGCAATGTTGGTTCTGAATCTGTCCACCCGCTCGCTCTCTTTGCTCGGACTGAGTCACCAAGGTCACCTCGAGTGGTTTGCCTTGATAGGGAAAGAGATCAACGAGTGAAAGTCAGGCCAGAGTTGCGTCACCCGGCCCCCGGCCCCCACCACCCACCACCCACCACTCACGCCCACGCCCACCACCCTCTCCAAGCTACGCGATGTCTGCCAGTCTCGATCTCCGGACACACTGGCCCGAGAGCCCACACTGGCCCGAGAACTCGCCGTCCGGGCCAAAGTTGCGAACCAACGTTGCGGACCAACACTTCCCCCCCTCCCCTTCCCCCTTTCCCCAGCCTTCCCCATCTGCAACTGGCAGCACACCGGTGGGCGGATTCACCTCGAGCATGGGGCCGGTAAGCCCTGAACGCACCCCAACCCGCGATCGAGCAACCGGGCTCGGGCTCGGATACGTCGCGTCAGGGAGCAACGAAACCGGTCGATGCAAGCAGCGTCATTTGACCAGAAACACTCCCCTCGAAGGCCACGCTGTCCGTTCGTTATCGCCCCGGTGTCATGCTCATTGCCTCATCATTCCGCTCCCATCTCAATTCATGTGACCGATCCTTGCCAACGACGTTTCAATGTTCTCGCTGCGGCATGGATCGGATCGAATACGCCAGCAGCCCACCCTCCCCTTCCGCAAATGCTTGTAGTGGGCAGAGATACGAGTCTCGACGCGGGCGATCGCCCTTCTGCTATAACTGCCTCTCCTAAGATCAAAGACGGAGCCACTAATGTTGCATTGGACATTGATCCTATTGAGCGGCATCCAACGGGTCACAGCGTGTACACCCCGGAAAGCAAGAGCCAGCCTCTTGGTCGCCAGTCCCCCTTGTCGTTTCCTTTCTTCCTTCTCCTTTTGTCTCCGGGCCTTCCTTTGCTTCTTGCTTATTTCTCATGTTTCTCACCACGCCTAGATGCAAAGGCGGTGTTGTCTCGCCCCTCCCCACTCAATGCACAAGCATAGACTCTATCCTCGTGACAATTGATGTAATTCTTCGCTGACGGCAGCTTGAAGCCCCGAAGAGGAAGAAGCGTCTCAGACACGCCATCTCCAAAATGGTGAAGATACCCTTCCGCAACGACACATCTTGCCTGTGCAGCTTGGGTAGGTTTCCGTTCCGTCTCCGATCCCTGCGGATGGTGGTTATGACAGCCCGAGACTGCGCATCCCTCGTGGGTGGATAGCAAAGCTTTACGCCAATCTCTAATCACCGTGTTTACATACCCCGTCCTGGTACTGGCATACGGAACGTCACACAGATGCGCCGAATTCCATACTCGGATTTTCTTGCAGAAGAGGATTCGTTCATGCTCTCCCTCACAGGCGAGCGCTTGGAAGCTCACTGCGGCCCGTCCCCACATAACGCCTCGTTGTATATCCGTGCGAGCATCCCGAGGACCTGAAGTCGAGTTTGCCGATGGTCCCGCACCCCCCCGCCTTGAAATATAAAAAAAAATAAAAATAAAAAAGGAAAAGAGAAAAGGAACAGAGGCAGGAATCCTACCTTTTCCCTATGCGGATAGCTCTAGCGACAGCACCGAGCCGCCTAGCCAAGGCCTGAAGTCCGAGTAAGTATGGGGCTAGAGTCGTAGATTTGCCAAGCTGTCCAGGAGCACGCAATCATCGAGGCATCGAGCTGAGCAGGGATGGCAACGGACCGCTTTGTTAATTGTAGACTTGAACGACCCTTAAACTGGGGCCACCCAAGATGTGGTGAATAAGAGACGTCTTCATCTATAAAAGATTAAAAAAAAAAAGAACGAAAACAAAAAGAAAAACCCCAAATCAACTCCCCTGCTGCTTGGGAAGAGGCGCGAGCTTGGCAAGGGGTGGGGGTGGCCATGTCCATCTAATTGATCTCTCCTGATTACCGAAGTAGGACTTGTAATAATAATAGCAAACACCCGCGCTTAAGCCATATTGGTGCCCGTCCTCCCAGACTCTGCAAGGGTGATCTGGTCGTGGTATGCATCTGTGGCTTGTCCCATCGATCAGCTCGGCCACGGCTTCCCCCTTCACTCCCGACTGCAGCAACTAACCCGCGCTCCAGGAATCCGGGTCATAGGCGCAGAATCGAGGCGGCCCCGGCCGTTACACTAAACACTGACGGAATATCCCAAGATGATGCCTCCCACTCCTCGAGTCTCGCCTATCAAGATCGCTCTTTGCTCCTTTCGAAGCGTGCCCCTTCAATCCGTTTCTGGCAATTGTTGTCCCTATCAAGTCGATTGATTGCGGACCCGCGGGACTTGAAGGGAGAGACGATGGCGGCCACGAATGCTTTGGCGTGCATGTACTCTATCTCGTCCCTTCGGGGTCTGGCAGCGCCACGAGGCTTCCATCAACCCACTCGAGATCATGCAGGAATATCCCTAGCCTAGGCCTATGCCCATGTTTATCTCTCTGGCGGAGGCCTCTCTCCGTCCCTGATCGCGCGTCACCCGTTCCGCTGGGGCATGACTCTCAGATTAGCAATGAAAATCGTGCCAAACTAAGCCCTTATGAAAGTCGAGCGTGGCTGGTCCGGAATGCCTGTTTGGGGTTTTCTGCTGCTACCTCGACATGGGGGCAAAGATGACATGTATTCCTCCAAGGTTGTCGTTCGAGTCTTCGCCCAGCGTCCGCAAGCCACGGTTCCCTCAATACGAACTGCGCATATGCAGTCAGCCCCGAAAGACAGCGGCTTGCCTAAATGTCCAAAGACAAAGGGCCAACTTCGTGCCATCATTTGCGGGCTAGTGAACAAAAAAGGGAGAACGCACCTCGTCGCTCAGCTTAGTTGTTGAATGATGCATAGGCCATGCATAAATTGTCCCATTGGACACCTGGAAGCGCTGCTAACGCCAACAGGTTGCACGAGCCTGGCAGGGGTCAAGCTACACCGAGATGTTCCTTGGAATGTGGCTGCAAGCATACCGAAGCAGCTCCCCGCCTCGATCTTCCTGCCAGCAGGACCCACTCGAGCAGGAAACCTCGGACGTTACGACAAGGAGCCGCTCGGCGGAGAGTGCGCTTATAATCCTGGGGGAGACATGCCAAAGGGCAAATCTCTCTCCCAAACTGGCTTCCTACATATGCGTCTTGGACAAAGGGGGTTTCTCGACCGAAACCGGGCTGGCCTCGCGCCCAACTCGAAGGATCCAAGGCCTGGCGACAGGGGCAAGCAACCCCTTCTCGCTTGTGCGTCAAGCCACGGACTGACCAGTACGTCGCTTAGAGTCAAATGGAGGGAGCTCACAACTCCAGCTTGATCTATCACATCTGTGACCCCAAGCCATGTCAAGGCGGTAATATCGCAGGCCAGCTATATGTGGTGCTGTGGTGAGGGCTGGATTATGGCCAGGCAGAAACCAGCCCCTTTCTCAAGGACCATATCATTTCAGTAGTTCACTATTATGATTGTACCTTACTAGTAGATGGCGCGTCCCAGAGCTTGCTCAGCAATGGCGTCAATGATTTGTGACTCCAGGATAATCCGTCTCGATGGAATGCATACGGCATAGGGTGCGTGGCGCCCCGCGTGATGGAACATCCCCTGATCCCTATTCAATAATAGGCCCAAGCTCCCCTCGTTCACGAGAGATAACACTATTACCGACATGAACAGCATGTGTTCTGCTTCAGGCCATTCATTCCGCCGTATCTCTGCATGTGATATGTCGGTTGCCATCGTCGGTGCTTAGACCTGATCAGTGTTGGTAGGTCAGAAAAGATATATTTCTGACAAATCGATTCCATTCCCTAGTTCTAGTTGGTTGTAGCTGAACAAGATACCAATAGGATAAGTGGTATTCTCTCGGGGACCAGTGGCCAACGAAAATCCGGCGAAGCAGGTTTTCTAGGCAGGCCCCCGGTTTGCCTAGACTATCAGCGAGAGGTGACAGGCCAGACGCACGCCTCCATCGTTCTGGCAGGGCAGCA